CAGCGGGAGGTGGGATAGAACTGTGATTGGGTGTTCTTGGAAGTATGGCCTTAGCTTCCTCGCAGCTGAGGCCACGGCCAAAACCGCTTTCTCGACTGGCATGTATCGGGTTTCGGCCGGGAGGAGGGCTTTGCTGACATAGTAGACAGGCTGGTCAGAGCCATCCTGTGCTCTTCGTACGAGTACTGAACTCACCGCTAGCTCGGAGACCGCCAGGTATAAGTAGAGTCGCTCTCCATTGACTGGGGCGCTTAGTACTGGTGGGGCGCCGAGCTGGCTTGTTAGCAATGCGAAGGCTTTGTCACATTCAGTGCTCCATTGGAGTTTTGACGTGGACTTTTTCAGCATCTGGAAGAATGGAGAGCACTTATCTGCAGACCGTGGGATGAATCGCCCGAGGGCGGCCATTTTCCCATTGAACGCTTGAATCTCTTTGATGGTCTGTGGCGGTTTCAAGCTTCGTATGGCCTCGATTTGCTTTGGATTGGCCTCTATTCCCCTTTTGGTGATCATAAACCCAAGGAATTTTCCGGCTTCGGCTCCGAAGACGCACTTGAGCGGGTTGAGCCTCAGATTTCTTCGTCTCAGCGTTTCGAAAGTTTCTCTTAGGTCAGACAGGTGGTCTACTGCTTTTTTGCTCTTGACTAGCACGTCGTCGACATACGCCTCCACATTCCTTCCCATCTGGTCCTTGAAGACCGCATCCACCATGCGTTGGTAGGTCGCCCCCGCGTTCTTTAATCCGAACGGCATAACCACATAGCAGAAGTTTCCCATGGGTGTCATGAAGGCTGTGAGCTCTTGGTCGCCTTCTGCCATTCGGATTTGGTGGTACCCCGAGAACATGTCTAGGAAACTCAGCGCTTCGTGGTTGGCGGTTCCATCGATTAGCTGGTCGATGCGAGGTAGGGGATAGGAATCTTTGGGGCATGCTGCATTGAGGCTTGTGAAATCAATGCACATCCTCCACGCACCTCCCGCTTTCCGTACGAAGACCGGATTTGAGAGCCACGTGGGGTAATTTACTTCCCTGATGAAACCGGCTTTGAGGAGCCGTCGGACCTCTTCTTCAAGGGCCATTTGCTTCTCCACCGATAGGTGTCTTCGTCGTTGCTGGATTGGCCGCATTTTTGGTTTAACTGAGAGGTGATGCTCGGATATGTGGCGGGGCACACCTGGCATATCTTCCGGACCCCATGCGAAGAGGTCCTGATACTCTCGGAGGAGTGTGAGCAGTTTTTGGGCTTCCTCGACCGCCAGATGTGTCGAGATGCGTACCGTCCTGTCGGGGCGTTCTTCATCCAGGGCGACCGCAATGTCCCCTTCGACTGCTTCGGGACGGGGGACGTCGTCTCTTGCGTCCACCCGGTCTACTTCGAGGTGCTCGATCGTTGCTTGGTAACATTCTTTGGCCTCTTTGATGTTTCCCCGCACACGGCCCATCTGGCCACCGCTGGGGAACTTTAGCATTTGATGGCACGTGGAGGCGACCGCTTCGAAGGAGGCTAGGAAGCCGCGCCCCAGGATGGCGTTGTACGCGGATGGACAATCTGCCACATGGAATTCCACTGGTCTCGTCTTGGTGATCCCTCCTTCGCCAATGGTGACCTTCAGGGTGATGGAGCCCAAGACCCGGACTTTCGTTCCCGAGAAACCCACCAGGTTGGTGTGGGAAGGATTAAGGTCTTGCACACTTTTCTTCATTCCCTTGAGGTCTGAGTAGAAGAGAATGTCGGCAGAGCTCCCGTTGTCGACAAGAGCCCGGGTAACTTTAAATTTCGCGGTCCTGAAAGAGACGACCAATGGGTCTTCTGAGTTCTCTTCTTTAGCCAGCTCGGAGGGCAGGAACGTCACATCTGTGGTCGCTCTTCGCAGAACATGCAGACACTGAGCTATGCGGTCTCCTTCTGTCCTAGGCCGCTTGCATCCTCCCGCGATTGTGATGACCTCCATTCCATCATCGTCGTTGCGTTGGGGTCGGTAGGCGGGAGATTGCCTTTGGGGGGATGCGGCTTTGTTCCTTGTCGGAGACCTTGATCTTTCTTTTCGTATTCTTCTAGCCTTTTCCAGTTCGGGGCTGTGAGAGTCTTCTCTTGCCTCTTGAGAAAGGCCGCGATGAGGGCGCCTTGTTTCCAGGCGGCTTCGCAGGTCGCCTGGGGCTAAGTACTTGAGGCTAGCTTTAAACTCTCGACACTCTGTGGTGTCGTGGGTGGTGACTTGGTGCCAATCGCACCACTTCTTTCCTTCTTGGGGCTACTGTCCCGAGGAGGCTTCATGCTTCCTTCCACCCCTCCGTCGTTCTCTTCCTCTTTCGCGGTCGGTGGAGAGCACCTCCTTCCGACCGTCCCGATCGGAGTACCGATTATGATAGGACCCGCGTTCCGGGGAGCGTCTTCCTCGGCGCGAGTCTCTTCGTTCCTGCTGGTCGCTTTGTGACCGCCCTGGCTGGGAACGGTCGTCCGTTGCCAACGCTTCTTCAAGCAAAATTGCTCGTCGCACCAACTGGTCTAGTTCAGACGAGGAGGTCAGGGCCGCTTCCTTCTTTATCAATATCCTCTTGAGCTCAATGCTGGTCGTCGATATCCGAAGATTGTCGGCGGCTACGACCGAGGAGATGCCGTCTATTTCGCATGCGATTGCGTTCCATCGGTCATAGAACTCGGCGAGAGACTCCTCCTTCTTTTGCCGGCAATTGATGAGAGCGGAGACGGTGAGTTTGCGCCGCCTTTGTGACGCAAACTTCGTTGAGAATAACATGGCGAACTGCTCGAAATTCTCAATGATGCCTTCTGGGAGGGATGTATACCAAGTGCGACATTGACCGCTGAAAGTTACTGGGAACGCCTTGCACAGAACCGAGTCTATGGCGTTGATGAGTTGCATCTTCAACATGAAAGCGCATAGGTGGTCTGCGGAATCGGACGTCCCGCTGTAGGTGGGGAGGCCTAGCGATGAGAAATTAGGGGGAACCGGGGTCTTGAATAATTCTCTCGAGAGCGGGTTTTGTAGTACATTCGGGCTCTTGTGTTTCCCATAAGTTGACCTTAGGTGTTCCTCTAAAAACCCAAGGTCGGCGTCCTCTGCGTCTGGTCCTCCACCTTCTGTCCGAGCAGGGCTGTCAAGGACTTGGACGATTTTCTGCTTTTCTTCCCGCGTCTTTGCCTTGGAACCTTCGGCGGTCTCGTCTCTCGTCCTCAAGAGTTGGAGGATTTGAGAGAGGCTATCCTGCATGTTTGCTATTTGCACTCCCTGGCTTTTGACCACTTCCTCGAGCTCGGTCTCGTCTTCGACTCTCGGCGATAGTCCTCGGAGGGTGTTGTTTTCCGTCATCCCTTTGAGGGGGGTCTCGAAGTCGTCTCCCATTCTATCGGCAATGAAGTCGTGAGGCCCCACGGTGGGCGCCAAAATGTTTGTGCCTGCGATGTTCCAGGCGGTTATGTGAGACTCCACGACCTCTGGCGGCTTGATAGGAGAGAGGCGGTCCTCCGAGTCCTGCACGAAAGGTCCTCAGGGGTTGCCTGGGACCTCCTCCGAAGCTTAAGTTAGAGAGAGAAGGGAATGGATAAATGTATATAGAGAGAGAATTAGGTTGATCGGAGTTACCATAAATGCTGCCCCTTTGGGGCTATTTATACTAGCCTGGCCTTAGAACCAAGACATTTAATGCTGTGTCAGGCGGTCTAGGACGCCTTTAACTTTATTACCTGCTTTGTCAGTACGAATGTCAGGCTTCGTCTGACAGCATGATTTTAGCCCATTTGTCGGGCGGTTTCCCGACGTATGGATGACGTATATGTCGGGTGGTCTCCATGTTGGATATGGTCAACCTGACCTAGTCTTGGCCCGTCTTTGTGGGCTTCATAACCATGGGCTTCAGGCCCACGTATGCCAATACTAGGCCCAACAGTAACCACAATATTTTTAAGATTTTCTGAACTTTTCTCAACAACGCAAAAAACTAAAAGGATAATGCAAATTTGAAGTGCAATCTTACACCTGAGAGAAGGCTCTATCAAGATAAGGGTAGAAGCTCGACCAAAATTAAGATGAATACTTGATTGATACAGAGACACACTCAATGCGATTGGAGTCCACCAACGAAAAGAGCATAATTCACAAGTCTAAACCTCAATGAACAAAAGAGGTTTTTCAATTAAGTCTCTTCTCTTAACTCTTTAGAAAACAAAAGCCTAATTCTAATGACAAGGAAATAAATCTAACTAAAATACTGAAAAAGGAAAAAATCATAACACAAAAAGATAATTTAAGTCGTCAGGCAAATTCCTCGGTTAGTCCTGCAATTCAACGGTCGTGGAATTGATGTTTGTGGTCGTGGAACTTCCGCAATTGAATGTCTGACCGTGAATTTTGAACTGGTCACCACACGATCTTCAGGTTTGCTCGTTTAGTGTCCTGAAAGTTTTGATATTTTCATCCAACGCTCTTTAGCAAGACTTGTACTCTCACCTCCAATTCCCAACTATCCTCGACGAGCTTCCAATATGAACGAGTAAGCGTCCAAAGTAGGCACCTTGAATCTGTTTCTGCACTTAGCCATATCAGCAAATAATTGACTACTAGTGAGGCAATCTTCGTCTACAATTCGTCGTCTGGGGGAATTAAAAGGGTTGGGTCCGTATCGGATCATGGTTGGGTTTTATAATATCTTGGGTCGGAATTTTTTTATGTGACTATTCATGTATTGATATTTTAGGGTTAAAATTGGCTGATTAGGTGTTTTCCTTAGACACGTCAGCAAATAATTGACTCGTTAACGCAAACTAAAGAATACTAACAAAGTGTGACCAAACTTGAAATATTTAACTAATTCTAGTTAATTCATAAATGAAATATAATATTTTTAATAATAAATATTAATTTCTTTTGTAATTCCACTGACCAAATTTACCATTTATCCTAATTTTTATTTGCTTAAGCAATTTATTAATTGTGTTCTCTTTGTGGGCTTAAGCAATACGTCAACTCCAATGTCCTAACTACTCAAAGAAGCCCAGTCCGCTAAAAAATCCAGTGAAGTTTTACCTCTGTAACTGAATCAGCTTCTGCTGAAGACAAACGCCATTAATGGTTTTTACCTTCAATCCTTTTACACCGAGCGGGCAGTCTTCTCTCCTCAACAGTCAAAACTCAAAAGCAAAGCTTCCCTTCCACGCTCTCCGACAAATGCTTCAGGAAGGATCGCAACCGCCATCCCTCCAAATCTCTCGATGACTCTCTAACTGTTTTGATCCTTCTCTCCTGTCCGCCATCTGTGTCACCGTGGCCGGCAAATTATGGCAACTTACCGCCGGGCGAAGCTCGCTCTCGACGCCTTCCGGAGATTCTCTTCCAAGACCGCCGCCGATGCCGCTCACCGGCCGTCATTTCAAGATTCCGCTTCCAGAATCCACCGCACCGCTGCTCCGAATCCAGCTAAGTTCTCGACCTCGCATCCTTGCTCTTCCCTTCGTGAAAGTTTCAGCTTAGGGTTAGGATCAAGAACATTACAATCCTCGGCCGCAAGGCGGGGAATCGTGATTCCCAACCACAATCCTTTCGGCGGCGGCGGGGCTAGGCGGTTCTACTATGTGGATCCCCGCCAGGTCCAGCATTTCAAACCTAGGGGATACCGGCGGTGGCTCCGGAACCCCAGGAATGTTCTGATAGTCGTTCTGGTGAGCTCCGGCGTTGTAATCACAGTCTATTTCGGTAACCTCGAGACCGTTCCCTATACCAAGAGAAAGCATTTCGTGCTGTTGAGCAGCGATATGGAGAGGAAGATGGGCGAGTCTCAGTTTCAAGAACTCAAAGGCTCGTTCAAGGGCAAGATCTTGCCTGCGATTCATCCTGATAGTGTTAGAGTCCGTGTGATTGCCAAAGATATAATCGAGGCTTTGCAAAGAGGGGTGAGTCACGAGCAAGGGTGGAAAGAGTTGGGCTATGCTTCCACCGTCGATGGTGCTGATGCAGCTGCAGGGCGCAGTGGGCGAGCTAGGGAGACTCATAAGATGTTGAGTGAGGACGAAGGGAAACCGGAGGCTGATTGGGGGAATCAGGACGAGATTCTTGATGATAAGTGGGTGGAGAATACTAGAAAGAAGGGAAGGAAAGCTGGAACTTCGCATTTGGATGGACTAAACTGGGAGGTTGTGGTTGTTGATCAGCCCGTCGTCAATGCTTTCTGTTTACCGGGTGGAAAGATTGTTGTTTTCACCGGTTTGCTTAAGCATTTCTCAAGTAATGCTGAGATAGCCACGATTATAGGCCATGAGGTTTTTCATTCGTTCATTCATAGAAGATGCTCGTTTGGTTGTGATTTTTTGTTGTTGTTCCTACTAATGATCATCAAGTGTGTGCTATCTTTAACTGTTAGGTTGGGCATGCTGTGGCGAGACATGGAGCAGAGGGGATCACTAAGAATTTGTGGTTTGCAATTGTGCAAATTGTTCTTTTCCAGTTCATTACGCCGGATCTTGCCAACACAATGTCCACTCTCTTCTTGAGGCTTCCATTTTCTCGAAAGTACGTATGCTTTGCTTTGTTGGGGGTTGAATGATGATTTGTTTTCTTGTTGCTGGCTGTCAATGCAATGTTGCTAGGCCTAGAAGCACGAAAGAGTTACCATTCAGACCCATGTGATATGTTGGGAGATTTCCATTAGTCCCCCTTTGCTGATAGATACATATGCCTTCATTCTGCAAGTCCCCTAAACCTTCATTCTGAACACTATCATGTTCATCTTCATGTTCATGTGCATGCTCGTGCTTTAGGTTACACTTGTATCATACATGGTCCACCTTCATAAAAAGCATTAGACTCGTTTGTCCTTCCCCCTGCTGCCGTTTCTGTGGAAATTGGAGTTGGTAGTGAGGTCAGTTTGATTGCTATCAGTGTATCTCTGGAGTCCAGATGGATATCGAAGCTTGACTGCTGAGTGCTAATCTTTCACCACAAATGGTAAATCAGGATGGAGATCGAAGCTGATTACATAGGTCTACTGTTGATGGCCTCTGCTGGATACGATCCCCGCATGGCGCCAGGTATATATGAGAAACTGGGGAAGATCGGCGGGGAATCCGCACTGAGAAACTATCTCTCTACTCATCCATCAGGGAAGAAAAGGTCACGGTTGCTAGCACAGGCACATGTGATGGAGGAGGCACTCAATCTGTACAGGGAAACATTGTCAGGGCGTGAGGTTGAAGGCTTCTTTCTGTAGGCTCACAACACGGTATGGTGGTGGCTTTCACATTGGGATAAAGTTTGAGTTCTGTTTCTGGTTCATGGCTTATCAACTGAGCTCAAATTCAATTGGAAATCGCTATCCCTAACGCAGGCCGTCAGCTTAGTCGCTTGTAGTTGTAACTTGTAAGAACTAAGAACAAGTGCCGACTTGGATATTGTTTATTTCGTTTCCTTGGGCTCGTAGTCGCTTTACCGTGGGCCAAAAAATGCACGGTTCCAGCCTTTTTAAAATTACTAGAATTAATACCCGTGGCTGTGCCACGGGGACCAAAGTTGCATCAACATAATCGTATGGTGGGCAGTTTAGATGATGACAAACTGGAATCGTTGTATTATTGGCAGTGGTGTAGTTTTAGAGTATTGGAAGTGTGTTCATGGGACCTTTGTATGTTGAGTTTCATAGTTAATTAGCATGTTGACGTACATCTTTGCTATTGAGTTCCACATTTTGAAGACAAAAATAAAAAGCAAATGCATAGTCAAGAAGCACTAATTGCCAATAGTTTGTAATGCCTTAGAAAAGACAAATAGTTGTTGTAGTACCCAAACGGTACGTAAAACAATACATATCATTGAAGCAAAAAATGTTATGGATTATAGTCTAACATAGTAAGATCTTGACATCATAAAAAGAGGTAGGGGTCTAACATGCCTCGATAGCGAATGTAAGCATTTAGTGAACGGTTCTCAAAGCAATTAGGCATTCAGTCTTGACATAAAAGAAATAAAGTTCAATTTTGCTAACTCGTGTTCCAAATTGCATATTGAATTAAATATAATTGAACAAAATCCATGAACACGATCATAGATTTCCAACAACAAAATATGTGGTGGCCGAATACTATGATTGCGAATTTGTTCGCAATAAATTCTCCCCTTGCATCCTAGGGGTGATTTTCAAACGACTTCCCTATATAACTTGGTTAAGGTTTCCCGTAAAAAAAAAAAAAAAACTTGGTTAAGGTTCACAGGCCAATCCTGGCATGGATACTTCGAAAAGTAAGTCAAGAAGCACATCCTTTTGCAAATGGTTATACCCAAGTTGAAGGTGTTGATTTCCAAAACACCTCCGCTCCAGTCACCGAATTTGTGGTTGTTCGCTCCGTTTCAGCGCTTGCCGCTCAACATGGAAGGTTCCTCCAAACTCGACGTTAATAACACCATGGAGGAGGTTTACATGCGAGTTCCTCATGAGTTTGCTCGACCGGGGAGTAGTGTATATCATCTTCGCGATCTTTTTATGGCCTCAAACATGAGGAAGAAAAAGATCCAGGTTTTAAGGAGTGAAAAGAAAGTTGCGGTTCAGTTTGAGGCAACTTGCAAAGAGAGACAAAAACACTTTACTTGGCTCTGTTTCTGTTATCTCTAATATTCAACCATTATTTCGCAAGTTGTATGGATAATCATAATTATGGCAAGAGATATAACAAATTTACTAAAGTGTTTTTGTTTCTCTAGTAGGAAGTTCAATTCCTGTAAAAGCACCAACTCATGTAAGCTTTATCGGACCCTTATACTTCTGACAATATTCGGAGGTCTAAATAACTGAAAACAGTTAAGTTGAATCCGATTGAGCTAAAATTAGTAACCTAGTTATTTTAAAGTTCAGAAAAAGGATTGTGTTAATTTTGGAAAATAATCGATTTAGTTTGGTCTATAATGGTAAGTAACAGGATAACAAACTGCCAATATTGAACATAGTTATGGTTGTTGGGATTTGGAGGGAACTTGATGAGCAGTTCATGTTTATTCAAACTTAAATATAAAAAAAATGCAGTGCTGCAATTTTATTATATGTTAAACTGGACATTAAAGGCATGCTTCATTTGTAATTTGTATTTACAAATTGTTAGAAATATGGTGATCAAGCTTTGGATTGGCATTATGTGTATTGATCTCTCTCCTGCCATTGTCAACATGTTGTAAAATGTAAACACTAATCTTGGCCTGATGGACTGCAAAGGGTTTGCTTCGATGTTGTCCTAAGACGAACAAATGCTTATTAGCTGGAAATGCAACATCTGCAAAGAGATTTGGTGTCCTCGGATGAGATGAATGATGTCTTAGTAATAAAGAGACTTTGTAATTTCTATGGAGCATAAAATTGAGTACAGATCAAGCTATTGATATTACCAAGGTATCAACATCTGTTCTATGATTCATTAATACAAATTAAGTAAGTTACCATTGTAGTTCATTATCTCTGGACTCTAGAAAAGCAGTAGTTCTATTTACATACAATTACAGAATGCTAAGACATAGAGAATTCACAAATAAAATGCATAATGTTGAATGCTTCTAGACACAAATACTAAGGCTCATCTTCTATAGAACATAAAGTTAGCAACATTCCTACTTTTAACTGAAACGGTAGGAGAGGACCTTCAGCATTGTGACCTAGAAATCTCACCAAATTTATATGTTTTAAGTCCAAATAAGATGCTTACAGTCCAACCCAAAATGGCTCAATTCATACCTGCAAACAACAGTGAAAACACTACCATTGAGCATAAATCGAAACCTCTAAGTAACTAAATAAGGATCGAGGATATGGCATCCGCACACTGCAACAAACTGTAGCTAAATCAACATTGAGAAAATGACTGAACTTGGCATTACTGATGAGAGAATGAAAACCTAAGCTCCAATGGAAAAGAGAATAAAATGACAAATCCAAACATCACTGTTATTGTGATGCACACGTCAAACCAACCTTTGTAAACCCTACCAAACCCTCCTTCAGGAACTGTACTAAACCTGAAACTAAGTTTAATTATAATTGAAAACATTGAGCACATCTTTTAAGCTAAGGAAGAAGATGAGAAGCAGAATTCTCACATCGAGTTCTGGATGAAGAGTGATCAGACATAAATCTCATATGTACCAAGTTCACCCTGCGAGATTCATTACCCAATAATTCCAGTTCAGCAATGGCTTCCTAAAAACCCTGAAGAGATGAAAAAGAAAAGCAATCAAGGACTGGAAAGCAATTCAGTTATGGATCCCGGGAAAACTTTGTATCCAATTTCAGTAGATGAAGTAAGCAGGAACATGCGTGCAACTAATCCATTCCATAACTCAACTCACACTATGAAAGGATAACATTGTTCTTCAAGTTTTGAACTTCTTAACAGCCCAACAGACCTACATCATTGGAGGATGTATCTCGAAATCAACAATAATATCTTCACATGAATTGGCAAAAGCAGTGCTTTAGTTGTTATACATCTTGTATGTATGCTGTACAGTTAATAAGAAAAGTATATAGAAGAGGGACACAGGTTGTTTACCCTTGCAGGAGGCAGCTTCTTCTCCAAGTTCTTCTCGCTGCCCCTCTTAGCTTTCTGGTTGCCCTTGTTAGTCTTGTAGATCTGAGCAAGTAGGAAAAATGCGAGGTACTGGCTGCAAAGTAAAAAAAAAAAATAATCAACACAACCTTCTTGAAAAAAAAAATCAAGACAAAGAGATTGATCGAAGTCGATACGTATATGTAGATTCAGATTGCCTTCTTTGTCAAAGGGCCTAACAGAGCTGCAATGCTGTGGTTGTCCCAATGGTTTTCGATTGAGATACGTCTTGTGCAATTCTTCCTACCTCCAGCTCGATGAGGTCGAGCAGATCGTAGGCAAGTGTGAAAAAACACATTGGAAAAAAACATACTTCTGAATACTATCAAATTAAAAGGAAATACCAGGAGAAAATAATTGAATGTCATTACCTTGAACTCAATGAAATATCCCCACATGTTGGTGAATCAACATGTTAAAGTTCCCTTCCAACTCTGAGAATCTACATGTTGGAAAATCTAAATAGAGAAAATGGTTTATGACTTTCTCTTTCCTCCAATCACTGCCAAACTTGTTCCTACAGAAGACGGTATCCATCAGGAAACATACATTCAAGAGATGAACAATAAGAACAGAGTTGCCATTCATGGTAAATGAGAGGGAGGGGGGCAACCTGAATTCAATGAGGGCTCGCAATGATACTAACAATTAAAGTTGATCTTCACCATGAGTACAACCACGTGAGACTGACCTGGAAACAAACAAAGTACCATTAGTAAGATATTACAACTTGAATGATTGAGACACCCTCACACCAGATTCACTTTCATATAGAGAAACCTTAAAGATTAGCACTTATTTAGGTTTTACTTGGTGGACTTAAATCTTTTAAATTGAAAATAGCAAGTAGACAAACAAAAAGGTCATATAGCATATAAATATGAGCAAGAAAGCTTGAAAGTTGCACACCTAAAAAATGAATTGACATTCGAGAGGGCAGGGCAGTAAGCCGCCTTTAGGAGTGCGGCTAGAAAAGAAATGGGAGTGACGGGGAGGAGAATCGTATCGTGTCGCAAAGTGACCGGGCAAGAACCGTCAATTAAATAAGTTTCCAACCTGGATGGCCTCCATGGGCGTCTGTGGATTCTGAGTTTAGGGTTGTTAGTCAGATTCCATGGGAATGGCTTCCCAGCGTTACTACCTCCTTCTTATACCACTCGAGATGTCAGCTCCGCGTATTCCTCCTCAAAGTCGTACTCCACATCCGGCGGCATGATAGCATCCTCACCTAAACAACGACCCCGCCGGCTGCTGATCCGTTAGGGTGCCATCTAGTTGTCGTGACCTCAAATGAAGCACTTAGATGCAGTTGTCGATAACGATAGCCGAAGCGGAGAACTGGGGGGGCATGACTGAAGTCTATTCCTGATGCTGCTTTCGTTGCTGTCAAGGAGATGGTCCGTCAAAAGTCGTCGATGAAGAACATTAGGATCTTAATGGCCGAGGAGGAGGAGATGGTAGTGCAGGTTGACTCCAACGACAACATATTCAACCGCTGACGACTGCTCTTGAAGGTGGCAGAAGAAGGTCTCTGAATCCTATCACCGAATTGCACGACGGACATCCAGACCTATTTTGATTGCTAAGATTCACGGTGGCAGCGCGATGGGTGGAAGAGAGGGTTGGTTGAAGAGCGGGTGTGGAAATCGAGAATAGAGAAACAGATAAATAAAATAGGAGTTGCTGCTGAAATTGTAATGGTCGAGCTAGAGAAGAGATGTCTCTCTTAATCCCGAGGAGTAAGGTGAGGACTGTACAAATGCATGGGCCATGGGGTGTGGAGTAGCAGTGAAGAGTTCACCACTTAAAGAAGCAAACTGGAGCTGTCAGATAGCGTGATATGGCTGATTTACAGATTTTGGGACTGAGGGTGCAGGGAAGGGGGATGCAGAAGCATGGGCGACAGCGGAGGGAGGGTAAAATTTTCGATGAAGGTTTTTTTTATGGGAATCTGGATGCATTAAAATCAAGAAGTTAGGAATTGGGTCTACAATCCAAGCGGCCCATATCGGCTTCCAGATGATAAAGCAAGTTCAAAGGAGGGTTTTCAACCCAAACAAATTGTCTGTTCCAGCCCGAGATCGCATGGGCCAACCAGTGGGCCGAGATATTGTTCTTTCTCGGCGTAAAGCTCCATTGCACAGGGACACCCGTCATCGCCTCGTTCACTTTCGCTACCTTCCTTATCTCTTCGCACCAAACACCAAGCTCCGAGCAGTCCTCCACATTATCCTTCAATCGCCTGATAAGAGCCTGACAATCAGATTCGACGATGAGAGGGCTTAAACCTTTTCTGTTGGCCTCAATCAATCCCAAAAGGATTGCTTTCGCTTCAGCCTCGATGGGTCTGCACATTCCTCGTTCCTTCTTTGCCGTTGCTCCAGAAAAATTTCCACCCCAGTCTCTAATCACGCAGCCAAACCCCACTCCAGAAGGATTAAAGACTCCGGCATCGGAGTTGAGCTTGAAGACCCCTTCAGGAGGGGGGATCCAGCCGAGAGAGGGCCCCTGGGTGGGCACAGGATTATTACTCGCCCCATTCGCAGAGGGAGGTTCTTGGGCATTTAGAAACGCTTGAAGCCAACCCAGAGCTTTTGGAATAATCTGTTCTTCCTCTAACTTTCGGTTATTAAACAGGTGATTGCATCTTTCCTTCCATAAATACCATAGAATCACACAAAATTTCTGAATCTGCTCGGTCTGAGAGTTTTTCCATATCGCCTTTAACCATTCCATGCAAGATTTTCCTTCCCCAATATCGAATAATTCTTTCTCATCCCAGGTTTCCCATTGGCGGCGTATCCATCCACAGTCGCGCAAAGCATGGGTTTGGGATTCAGGCAGCCCACACAAAGGACAATCCGGGCAAGCCTCCTCAAACCATTCTTCAATCCGACATCCCACAGGTAAAATATTTCTCCCAATTCTCCAGATAAACAACCAAACTTTCGGAGGAATAGGGGTCTTCCAAAGTGCTTTCCAGAAATCAGATTCCTCGCTAGAGATAGAGTTGGCCTGTGCACTGTTACGACTTCGCCTTTCAAATATTTTCCTGTAAGCCGAAGTAACTGAATATTTCCCAACATCCTCCTCAGTCCAAACCCTTGTGTCACTTATTAGAGGCCTCCTCAGAGGAATTTTAGTAATAAGATCACAGTCCAACTTCGAGAATTTGTCCCTTAGAATAATCTGATTCCAGACACCCCTTTCTTTATCAATGAGATCCGAAACCCTCTCATCTGAATTTGTACCACTTGGTGAAGGATCAGCATAGTAGTAGCTTTTGCCAGGGATCCAGGGGTCCTCCCAGACTCTAATAGACTCTCCATTTCCAACACGCCATCTGAAACCATCACTTATCTTTTCCATAGCAATCCATATACTTCTCCATATGAAACTCGGCCTGGACCCAAGTTTAGCATTAAGGATATCAGTTCTAGGGAAGTACCTGGCTTTCAGTGTCCTGGCCATCAATGAGTTTGGTCTCGTCAGCACATTCCAAACCTGCTTTCCCGGCATTGCCAAGTTAAAATCTCTAAGATTTTTAAATCCCATACCACCCAAATCCTTTTCCTCGCAGAGATCATCCCAATTTAGCCAATGGTGCTTTGGTTCTTTTCCCTTCTGCCCCCACCAAAAACTCGATATCATTCTTTGGATCTCATTTATAGTACCATCAGGAATCAAGAAAACCATCATAGGATATAGGAGTTGTGCTTGAGCCACAGTTTTGATCATCACCTCTTTCCCCGCCTGGGACAAGGTTATGCTTTTCCAGAGCTGGTTGAAGAAGGCTTTTCGACTACACGACAAATAGTGAAACAGTATAGAAATTTTTGGGCCAATAAAGCGTACCCATCTTTTATCTTTTAAAGAATTAAAGAATTTGCTCTCCCCACTCTATAGTCTATAAAAGGAAGAAACAATTTTTTCAACTTCTCCGATTGGAGGTAGGAATAGCAATCGGGCAGGTCCGAGTCGGGTATCTCGATATTCATACCTGTCTTGTGGTAGGTTGGATGCATGTTGGATAATTTTTCATGAGATTTGGATCAGGTTGATCCAATGAATATGTAATTTATATGAAAAACATTAGAAATATTCATTATTTTCATTAAAAGACCAAGTAACAAACCATTAGAAATACTCATTATTTTCATTAAAAGACCAAAAAACAAATCATAGTATGATCAAATGTAGTTAAAGCATTGGAGAAATTAAGTTTTTCACTTACTTACAACTTTATTATAGCTAAAATATAAGGTAATAAAAGAAAGTTCTAAGTAATTGGACTAATATTACATGAATTTAAGCAAGAACGAATCGAAAATGGAACGTATAAGGACAGTTAGAGTCGATGAGAGATACTCATTTCTGCCCTGCCCACCTACAGGGTGGGTCGGAGCCGCCCAAAACGGGTTAAAAAGATCATATAAAATGGGTGAGAAATTGTAATTGGAAGTCTTCCTCGGCTAGAAAGGGGGAAAATCTAGGTTTAGCGCTGCTCTTTCACCATGGATCTTTGGCTGAGTTCTCTCAAAAGGAATGCGCTCAAGCTCTTGATCACTGAGATCGACTCCGTCTTCCTGGAATCGGGTTTCGTCCTTTACAAACCCCGACCTGAAAAGTCCCCCGATTGGCACGATTCCGACCACAATTCCACCATCTCCGTCTCTTACACCCTTCCTGCCCTCCTCCTCGATAACAATGACCAGATGGAGGAGAAAGTACCGCCATTGGTACAAGTCAAATTCCAGCCTCTATGTAGCTTCCTGGTGATCTGCGGCTCGCTGGCCCGAGACGGTTCGCTTCCGCGCATGTTCTGCTTCAACAAGACCGGAGAATTCGCGTCGGTTATCACCAACGGAGGCGTATTGGGGTTTCGGAGAAGGATCAAGGACGAGCTCTGTTTCCCCTTGCTGATCGACATCGCGGAGGAGGCAGGGCTGCCCGGGCCCAACTGCTTCTCCACCCTCCCGAGCGAGCTCAAGCTCGGGATCATGGCCCTGCTGCCGGCGAAGGACGCGGCGAGGATGGAATGCGTGTGCTCCAGCCTCCGGAGCCTGTGCTCGTCCTCTTCCAGCAACCAGCAGTGGGAGGCCAGATACCGCGAGGTGTTCGGGAAGGTTCAGGTGGGGGAAGCCCTGTCGAGTTCATCGGTGAAGAAGAATTGGAGGGAGCTGTTCGTCAGGAGGGTGGAGAAGAGGAAGGTGGGAGAGGCGTACGGGATCCCGATCAGAGAGAAAGCGAAGAAGATTCGCTTTATCAATGTGGCGTCTCTGAGAGAGCACGCCAGGAATTTAGGTTTGGGTCACTGGTAAGGTAAGACATTGTCTTTGCACCGAGAAGCCTACTATGGAGGTGGGATGAAGAGAGGAATTAGGGTCTTTTGGCTGGTTTCTTCGTGTCTTCTTCAATTGCAGTAGCCTGTGGTTAATTTTTACAGTTCTGGTGTGTCCTTGGTTAACTCTGGCGTGAGGAGTTCTGCTTTGGTTATTTTCAGTCTTTTCTCTGTGTTCTTGTTGTCTTAGCTGCGTCCAATAGTTGGGTCAAAGATGGCTTCTGAGTTCTGAGTGACTACTTTTGGTTTAGAACTGCATTTTTCTCTAACAAGCATCTCCTCACCAAGTTCTTTGGTTTCCTTACACAATTTCACTTATGCATACCTCCAATCTTCAGTTTACCCAATGCTCACCCCCTACACAGAACATAATCCTCAAGCAAGTGCAAACAATATTTGCTTCTCTATGAACAAAACTCCACTTTCTGACATCCATCTCCTCGCCAAGTTCCTTGGTTTCCTTACAATTTCACTTCTGCATACCTCCTCCACCTTGAGTTTATATATCCACTAACTTCTTAGAATTATATTCCACATAAGAGGGTCAATTCCAGTGGCCTTTGCCTTCTGTTAGTTCTGTAGTCAAAACAAGATAGCCTTCCCCTTTGTTCAACTTTGTATAAGAATTCTGTTATAGGGGCTTGCTCCAAGTCCAAATTCTCTTCCCCAAGTTTCAATAAACAAGACAATGATTTGTAAATAATTTTACCGAAAAGTAATGTTTTGTGATCTCATTTTTAAACAAAAAAATTCGAAATTTAGGGGTGTTTGTTGCTTTTGATTGCCATGGCAAGTGTCGGAAAAGCAATTAATACTTCAAAATAAGATGTGTTGTGGAATCATGAACGACATTTTACTCTGGTATCTTAGCATTCCTCATAATTTGCATGTAATTTATAAAATTTTCAGAACATGGACACTTCCTTAAATTTAAGGGTTAATACTTTACTTTGCCCCGAACTATACACATATTTTCTACTTTGGCCCGTGGTATTGGAAATTGCTATTCTAGCATGAACTATGTAGCAAACTTCCTCATTTGGCCTGGAGGCGGGTTTGACCGTTAAATTAGACGGTCAAACTTGTTGACCGTTAGTCAATGTCCACCTCACCTGCCATGTCAGCTTTGAGGACATATAATATTTTTTTATTTCTGAATTTTGTGTTCTTGCCATTTGCTAGCCCTTTTTTTTCGTTCTTTTAAATAATTTTTTTGATTTATTATTTTTATTAATCGAAAGAAAATAAAATTCAGAAATAAAAAATAATAATTTTGTATGTCCTCAAAGTTGACGTGGCAGGTGAGGTGGACATTGACTAACGGTCAACAGGTTTGACCGTCTAATTTGACGGTCAAACCAGCCTCCGGGCCAAATGAGGAAGTTTGCTACATAGTTCAGGCCAGAATAACAATTTTCAATACCACGGGCCAAAGTAGAAAGTATGAGTATAGTTCAGGCCAAACTAATATATTAACCTTAAATTTAATCTATATATATTTTCCTTCATATTTGACGATAAATTTCTGGCTATGCTACCGTATCCAAGCCAGAACGGCCAGTCGCCGGATCTCTTTCCATATCCTCTCTTGGTTGCTGTTCATCCTGAAAATAAACTCTATCAAGCAAAAACCAAGAAGCTCTCTTCAAAGCAAGGCCCATAACTATTCATTTTCTGCCTTCGCTTTTGTTGATTCTGTAGCGTGTCTTCAAAGTCTGGCTCTTGATCTTCCTGCTTTGTGATCGCCTTCAGTGCTCCTTCTCCTCTGTTGGCCGTGACTGGTTCTTCCTCTGGTGGTTTGGGCGGTGGTAGGGATGTCATGAAGTGAGCTTGATACTGTTTGGCCTTCCCCTTATAGGCTAGGTAAGCGGCGCTGCAGACTGAGATCTCATTACTACAACTCTCTTCCTTAACTTTCTTTTGATTTTCTGAGATTTTCTGACCTTCCTTGAATAACTGCGGCGAGACTTTAATGTAGATATCGGTTGTTGTTGCTGCGAGAGGCCACAGGGGGTATCATTGATGGATGTAGAGGATATATCTGAGAGAGATCTCCGAAGAGGATCATTGAAGGCTCCGCAAGCGGCAGCTGTAGATTGATAGTGGGAAACTCGGTGTAAACTAGGGTACTTTGAGAGCATTTGAACAGTGCTTAGTCAAAGGTAATTTGCTTATAAGCAATGTTCAAATGCTCTCAAAGTACCCTAGTTTACACCGAGTTTCCCACTATCAATCTACAGCTGCCGCTTGCGGAGCCTTCAATGATCCTCTTCGGAGATCTCTCTCAGATATATCCTCTACATCCATCAATGATACCCCCTGTGGCCTCTCGCAGCAACAACAACCGATATCTACATTAAAGTCTCGCCGCAGTTATTCAAGGAAGGTCAGAAAATCTCAGAAAATCAAAAGAAAGTTAAGGAAGAGAGTTGTAGTAATGAGATCTCAGTCTGCAGCGCCGCTTACCTAGCCTATAAGGGGAAGGCCAAACAGTATCAAGCTCACTTCATGACATCCCTACCACCGCCCAAACCACCAGAGGAAGAACCAGTCACGGCCAACAGAGGAGAAGGAGCACTGAAGGCGATCACAAAGCAGGAAGATCAAGAGCCAGACTTTGAAGACACGCTTCAACTTCTCCTGGTGGAAGGAACCCCCTGCAATAAATATCAAAGGGAAGCACCTGAGATAGCGACCTGGGCAACCATCACACCAATCATTCACATTAACTCCTACTGCAGCCAATCACCGAATACAGCAGTCAGGAATTTATGTCTGAACAGGGGCATAAGGAACGAACCGCATGGAAGGTACAGCTAGCACCCTCGGCAAGTAAAGGAGGAATGAATACAGTCACAACCACTTACCCCATATGGCAATTAAGAGGATTTCTGACATCTCCTATCAAAAATGGATACGCCAGGGGAAAAGATTCATATCCGAGAGCATTAAATGGTTTGTTGGGGGACTATCTGATACAGAGGGGGGAGGGAAGAGGCTACTTAAGGGAGATGAGTTCAGGAGACTCAAACCATCCTCATCCCCAGATCAACAAACCAAACAAAGAGAGCTCAAGCATATCATCAAGCTTCCAATCCCTGCCAACCAACAACCCCATGGAAAATAATATGCAGAATGTGAGAGGAGAGAAGAGCCATCTGGTGTTGAATGTGAGACCAACAATTGTGGGTGCGAGAGGTAGCGGAATGTCCATGCTGCTGGGAAAATGGATCACGGATGCCAGCGTCAACCTACATAAGGCGAAAAAACGCAGCAATCAGCAAATGAGAGCTTACGGGGACATCCAAACAACGAAGGAAGCAGAGAATCTGTTCGTCTATACCTTCCAATCACAACAACAGAGAGATGCAGTCTGGGACGCTCGTCCTTGGAATCTAAGCAACACCCTTATAGCCCTGAAGAAATGGGACGGGGAACAAAAAGCGGAATCCGAAGACATCCCAACAGTCACCCTGTGGATCCAGATGCATGATCTCCCCCAATCGCTGAAAGATGAGGAAGCTGTTCAAGCGGTAGCGGAATACATTTTTCCCCAGTTTCACTGCATTGATCGCTCCAACTTTGACTTCCGAGGCTGGCTAAAGTTCGTCAGAGCTAAAGTCGAAGTTCAACTGGATCAACCGCTACCAATTGGGTTTGAGTACCCGCTGGGGGAGCGATCCATCTGGGTAGGATTCAAGTACGAGAGGATAATGGACCTCTGCTTTTTCTGTGGTAAACTTGGGCATCTGATTCACAACTGCCCCACAAGAGAGGATCACCGAAGGAGAGGGCTGAGCATTGAACCGTCTGAGGTTTACAACGCCGCTCTGAAGGCTGGCCACGATTCACCGGCAAATACGCCGCCGACGTCGTTCCGAGAGAAACAAGCTCTAGCTCGCCGACCCACCCTCACCGGTCTCCCGACTAACTTTATTCGGGGATCCCGAGGCGATTCCTCCTTTCTGCAAATGATGGGACATACTGGCCAAAGTTCTTCCTCGAGCCCACCAGGGTTTACTGCCGTGGCACTGCCACATGCAGGAGGGAACTCAGAGTGGAGCCAGAGGGGAGAGGTCAGATCAGCAGCCGCTAACATCCAACCGGTACTACTGGAGCTGGAGATGGAAGCAACCACTAGGGCTCTGCAGCGGAATCTTGGCCTCGGGGAAGGGAAGAGCTCGAAGGAAATGAATTTGGGCCTTTTTGAAATGGGCCAGACACTATCTCTGGGCAGCCCGTTCTACACCCAAACTGAGCCCACCCTTCTCCCAGGCAACTCCCAGCAGGCCCAGATTTTTAACCCACAAGAGCAGCAACCTAATCCTAGCCCAGAGAAAGGAGCAACGGAAGAGGAGCAGTTCACCAGGCCCAGGCCAGAGAAGAAAAGGAAACCTGAGACTCTCAACAGCCCAGCTATGTCCATCCCTCAGATGAAGACCTCACCTAACGTGATTTTTGATTCTCTGTCATTTGCTCCAGGTGATAACCAGAAGACCTACCAGAGACGAAGGCACATCACAAGAAGGAGAAGCATCGCAGAAATAACAGCGGATGGGAACTACTCCGGGGGAAGGGGAACCCCTCTCCCCGAGGGCGGCGGCGGCGAGCCTCAAGCTGCCAATCCAGAAATGAGAATCATCAGCTGGAATTGTAGGGGATTCGGCCAATCCCTTACAAGAAGCTACTGCGGCAGACTATGTCGGCAATTCGGCCCTTCATTACTTTTTCTCATGGAAACCAGAAAGGAAGACCGTTTCATGGAAGAAAAGAGGAAGGAAATGAAGTTTGTGCATTCGAAGTACGTTAGCCCTGCAGTAGAAGGCAGTGGTCTAGCTCTGTGGTGGAAAGATGATCTAGATGTTGTAGTATTAGATTCGTGTCGGTTTTTTGTGGATTGCAGTATCAGTAGGGATGGGGAATCCTTTTTCTGTACCTTTGTTCATGCTCCCACCACACCGGTGGAGAGAAGAACCTTTTGGGAGCGCCTTTCGCTGTTAAGGAACTCCATGGAGGAGAAATGGCTGATCATAGGAGATCTCAATGTTGCCATCTCCAATTTTGAAAAACAGGGGAGTTGTCCCCTTCGAAATGAAAATGTGGTACCGTTTAAGTACTTCATCACTCAAAATGCCCTTATGGATTTAGGTTTCTCTGGTCAGGTTTATACGTGGACAAATAACCAACAAGGTAATAATCTGATCCGAGAGAGGCTTGACAGAGGGTTGTGCTCGCCGGCGTGGAGAACCTGTTTCTGCTCGGCCACTTTGTTCCATGAAGACTTTGTGGTTTCGGACCACTGCCCTATTAGAATCGACCTCCACCCCAAGAATCAGCCAAGAGAAACCCCCTTCCGTTTTGATAAAAGATGGAGAGAAAACGGGGAATGCAACCGCATCATCGAGGCTATCTGGTCGCAAGGAGGAACACTTGACACAATTCTGAAGAAGTGCCAGGATGCTATACAACGATGGGCACGAGTTGAACGAGCTAACTCGCTCAAGAGAGAAAAAGAAATTAGAATGAGGCTACAGGAGCTCCAGGGTCCAACGAGAAACCCAAATGACATTGAAGAGGAGAAAACCCTGCTCCAGGAATTGAATATGATGTGGATTTCGGAAGAGGAATTCTGGGCGCAAAGATCTAGAAATGAGTGGTTATAGGAAGGTGACCAAAACACAAGCTTTTTTCACACCAGTATTATCAAAAGAAGAATCAGGAATCGCATTCTCAGATTAAAGGATGAAGAAGGGGAGTGGATTAACGACGCCAGTTTGCTTGAGGAACACGCAAAGGGTTTTTACCATAATCTGTTCACTTCTAAAGGTGGAATCTTCAACCACGACTTGCTTGCTGGCTTCCCCGCCCTTGTTTCACAAGATGTGAATGACTCCCTGAATGCCACATTCACAAAGGAGGAGATGCGTAGAGCGGTTTTTCAACTGGGAACAAACAAATCCCCAGGCCCAGATGGTTTCCCAGGTCACTTTTTCAGAAAATACTGGAGTCTCGTGGGGGATACCCTGTTCGAGGAAATTTCAAACTTTTTCATCACCAATACCATGCCAAGCAATTGGAATGATACTTTTATCACACTTATACCCAAAGTGGAAGCGCCTGAGAAGATTGGACAGTTCAGACCCATTAGCTGCTGCAACTTCAGGTATAAGGTGATCACAAAGATTCTGGCAAATAGACTACAGCCGTGCCTCCCCAACTTGGTAAATGAGCTTCAATCAGCATTTACTGGAGGGAGACAAATTCAAGATAATATTGTTATTGTGCATGAAGTGCTGAATTTTTTCAAAAAGAAGAGCACGACACATCGACAGCACATGTTGATGAAACTGGACATGAGGAAAGCTTATGACCTTGTCGAATGGGATTCCCTGATTCAGCTTCTGAAAGCCTATGGTTTTAGTGATCTGTGGTGTGGATGGGTTCAGGCTTGTATTACTACAGTCAAGTTCAGACTTCTTTTCAATGGGAAACCTTCGGAGGAATTTTCCCCATCTAGGGGAATCAGACAGGGTGATCCATTGTCTCCCCTCCTCTTCATCCTTATGTCCAACGCTCTGTCTTTCCTTATTGAGAAGGCTGTTCAGAGTGGAGAGATCAAAGGCCTGAAGATCAACAGAAATTGCCCCACCCTGACACACTGCCTCTTTGCGGACGACACGGTTATCTTTGGGGAAGCTTCGATTGGGGAAACAGGGAAGATCTTAAACATATTGAAGGATTATGGCTCTATGACAGGACAAGAAGTTAACAGGGACAAGTCAACTATCTTTTTTGGCAAAAATGTCACAGAGGATGAGAGGGGATTGATTCTCCAATCGAGTGGATTTTCTACAGCTAACAATCACTCTAACTACCTCGGAGTACCCACTGAATGGGGTAGATCAAAAAAGGAAACGTTCAATTTCCTCATTCAAAGGATGGAATCCAAAGGAGAGGCGTGGAAAAGCCTTCTGTTATCACCTGCGGGTAAGGATACACTCTTAAAGGCGGTTTTCCAGGCGCTGCCTTCATATGTTATGTGTCTTTTTCTTCTCCCACGGGGCACCACGAATAGGATGGACGCAATGCTGAGAAATTTCTTCTGGGGAGGCTCTATGACAAGAAAGACAATCCACTGGCGTGCGGGACATGTTCTTTATGCTCCCAAAGAAGAAGGTGGTCTGGGATTCAGACCATTCCACACCTTCAATATGGCTCTCCTGGCCAAGCAGGCATGGAGACTTCTTAACAATCCAGAGACTCTTTGGGCCAAGGTTTTGAAAAGCATTTACTTCCCCCATTCTGATTTCCTGTCGGCCAAGAAAGGGGGAAAAGCATCGTGGATCTGGGCGAGCATTTGTGAAGCAAAGAGTTGGATGAAGCAGGGTGTTGTCCGAGTCATTGGGAAAGGGAATGCGACCAGGATGTTCCATGATCCCTGGCGATTTGACCGCTCAGGAACTGTGTTACCAGGCACAAGCAACAGGGAAGACAAGGTGGACTGTTTTTTTGATGCAATTACTAGAGAATGGAAACAGGACATTTTGGAACAATTCCTGGAGCATGATGAGCTCCACCTCTCTATGGAAACTCCAATTGGCCCTGCCACGATGGAGGATTTCTGGGCATGGAGACCCTCCGACCAAGGCATTTTCTCTGTGAAGTCCGCTTTCCACCTTTTCCATAACCAGCTTCGAGGTTCTCAAGGGGTTCTTAACCCGTTCCCAGAAATGGCAAAAGAACGATGGAAATGGATGTGGAACCTGAATATTCCACCGAAGCAAAAATTCTTTATCTGGCGTTGTGCGAAGAATGCCCTGGCGTCCAAGGAAAACCTGTTTGCCCGGAAATGTGCCCCTTCCAAGGTTTGCCCTCTTTGTTCCCACCCGTCGGAGTCCATTCACCACTGCCTGTTCTTGTGCCCTCACGCGGCAGAAGGGTGGAATAAGGAATGGCCTAATCTGAGCTTGCCGCCTCCGTTGACCAACATTCTGGACTGGTTGGACTATCTGAGAGGTATGTACTCCATTAACACCATACAAAAGGTTGTCTTCCTTCTTTGGCAGACATGGAAAACCAGAAATGAACGCATCTTCTCCAACACGGTTCCATGGCCCCCACTCACAATTAACAGAGCTCATACTGCCTATCACCAATGGATCACTTGCCCCAAGAAGAAAGCAACCACCACTCCCCCGAATCAGCTCAACTCACCCCCGGATCTTACTACACCACCGCCGAGTACTCATTCTTTTGAGATACACTGTGACGGATCGTTCTTTAGCGATCCACAGAAGGCGGCGTATGGCGTCGTAGTTACGAACAACCATGGTCAAGTCTGTGATGGGAGGGCTGAACACCTGCAATGCAACTCCCCTCTCGAAGCTGAAGCAAAGGCTCTCTGGGAAGGAATACGTTTGGCGGCGGAACTCCAAGGCCCTTGCCTGGTTAAATCGGATTGTCTTAAGCTTATCAGTGCTGTGCTGAGTCCGACTGTTGTTTGGCCATGGAGAGTCGCAGGCTGGATTGCCAGAATCAAGAATCACATCATTTTCCATCCCTGGATCAAATGCGAGTTCTTCAATAGGAAGTGCAATACCAAAGCTAACTGGGTGGCTAGGTCGTGTGCTTTGAATTCTCTTCCTTTTGATTGGATTCAGATCCTTGATGTAATCTCTCCGCTTCTGTAATCTTGGTTTCAGCCATAGTAATGGAATTGCATTGCCCCTTGTCAAAAAAAAAAAAAAAAAATTATGTACCGGCCGCATCATCCAATCAAATCACAGAGAGAGAAATGACAGATGCATTATCGCTTAGTTATGTACAGTAAACTTTGAAAAGGACACACCTCTAAATTTCGCAAAATGAAGCAAAGAAAGGCACAAACTTTAATTTCTCTCCCAATTACTCTACTCGTCTTCTCTCCTTTGCATTGGAGGGAGGGGGAAAAAGGTCTCTCGGTTTAACTCAGTTCTCCACCATGGATCTATGGCTGAGTTCTCTGCAAAGCAAGGCGACCCATCTCTTGGTCACCGAAATCCACGCCTTGTTCCTCGAATCGGGTTTCGTCGGCTTCAATTCCGTCACCGGAGCCCCAATTGAAAACTTCCCCGGCGTGCCCGATTCCGGCCAGAGCTCCACCTTATCCATCTCTTACACCCTTCGCACCCTCCTCCACCTTGCTCGCAATGATCGGATTGAGAATCCGCCATCCGTACTCGTCAAGTTCCAAACCCTAGGCGGCTTCCTGGTGATTTGCGGCTCTCTGGCCCGCGACGGTTCGACTCTGTACAGGCGGAAGGTGCACAAGAGCAAAGCTTTCTCGTCGGTTATCATGTACGGGAACGTTTCGGAGTTTCGGAGAAGGCTCAAGGATGGGCTGTGTTTCCCGTTGCTGATCGACATATCCGAGGCGGCAGGATTGCCTGGGCCGAACTGTTTCTCCACCCTCCCGAACGAGCTCAAGCTCGGAATCATGGCGCTGTTGCCGGCGACCGCGATTGCGAGGATGGAGTGCGTCTGTGCTAACCTCCGGAGCTTGTCCTCCTCCGGCGACGACCAGCTGTGGGGGACCAAATTCGCCGACGTGTTTGGGGAGGTTCAGGGGTTGGAGCCCGGATCGAGTTTGTCGATGGCGGTGGCGACGACTTGGAAGCAGCGGTTCGTCCGGACAGTGATGAAGAAGAGGAAGCAGGAGAGAGCTCGGAATTTGGCCGAGGAGCAAGCGTTGATGAGGCATTGGGACTGGGGGCAGCAGGCACAGCTGCAAGTGTTAGTTCGCCGGGCCGGCGATGCAGCGGCCAATTAGAGACGACGCTTTAGGGTTTACGTCTCTCTCACCTTTTTTCTTTTTTCCTGCAATTATACAGCAGCTGCCTAATGGTTGAAGTTACTGTTCTTGTCATCTTTTGTGCCCTTTACAGTGAAAGGGTTCCTTTTGTGTCGCTGATTCTGTATGAATGTTTTCGACCTTGTTATATACTCAGTGATGCTTGTTTGTTTTATCCAAGAGTCCCAACAGTATCAGAAAGCTGGCTTGTGTGACAACGTATTGGTTCAAAGCGCCATCTTTGCACAACTTACTCTGTTTTCGTCAGTGCATGGAAGGTGTTCGACCAAATGTCCAACAGAGCTGCGTCTCTCAGGAACTCATGCCTCTTGTGTACTTCAGCAGCGAGAATCTTCCGAGGCATTGGATTTGCTTCAAGAATCGATAATGGATATATTATCACCTCTTGGCTAAGAAAGCATTGAGATGTTTTTCACGAAGTGCGGAGTTTGAGCTGTGTGGAGTTTATTACCTGTCAGCCTCTGCTTATCATGCGATTGGACTCATACACAGTTGCTTTGAGTGTGATATGTTCTGCAAATGTGTCTTTCTGGTTAGAACTTATGAAGTCAATCAAAATGCTAATATAATTAAAGAAATGGAAGGGGAAAGTGTTTTCAGCATGATTTCTGACTTACCTCAATCGAGCCAATAGTTCATCACGATCCTTCCATGGTTGATACACATTTGTAAGGGCTGCAGCCAGTCAGGTCTCTATGTGGAAGCTGATGAAGCTCTCTACAGTTATGCCAATGAATTACAACTTGTCCGTCGACAGGCGATTCCCCTGAGACATAATGATCAAGGGTGGTAGCTGAAATCTGCAACAGACGGAAGAACCAACAAACTTTAACAATGAGCTCCAAGGAAGATCACATTACTAGGTAACATCAGTTGTTATACAGACAGTGTCTAACTTGCTGCAATCTGCTGTGAGAATCTTCTGAAGGCATTGGATTTGCTTCAAGAATCGATAATGGATATTTTTCATCAAGTGCGGAGATTGAGCTGTGTGGAGTTTACTACCTGTCAGCCTCTGCTTATCAGTTATCATTGGGGCATTGGATCATGCGATTGGACTCGATCACAGTTACTTTGAGTGTGATATGTTTGTGGTATCTTTTACAGATGTGTCTCTCTGGTTAGAGCTTGTGAAGTCCTCAATCAAAATGCTGAATGTAAATAAACTGTTGCAATTTCGTTTTCTGGTTTCTGTATCATCCTGACCTGAGCTCTCAGGATTGGTGGCCTTTCTGTGGCAGTTCTCTTGCTTGTTCTTTTTCTGGGTTACTTCATACTTCCATCACATTGTTTCTTTGTGGGTTGTTGACATTCTTCATTCTCGTACATGTTTCACTGTATATGCTGTCCTACATCAAACAATCGGTGGTGGCCTCGAGTTGTTGGTCCAATTCTGATGCACCCTGTGCACCAAGGTTCACTCTTTCGATTATAAGAAATCTCTTTCTACAAAACACAGTTATCGTCTCCTTTGCTTGATTGTAGTCTCTATGGTTTCAGATTTCTTCTGCTTTGCTCCTTCCTTCTGCTTATTCTTGTGTGTGTGTGTGTGTGTGTGTGTGTTGGGGGGTAATAGTCTGGGAAATATGAGCGCTCTATTTCGGGGATAGAATTTTTGGAACAGATGGTGATAAGTGGTGCCCACAGAGGAAGCTTGCCAGCCATGAATTCTCAACCTAAGTTCTCAAAGATTTCAGTAATGTTTTCAGGGTTAATGCAGTGAAGTTGGTTTCGAATATCACTGTGCAGCAGCAGCTATGGAGACCATTGATTTGCAGGTTGGTGCTTTTATGGCCAAACTTAAGACATACCAATCAGTGTCTTCCTCTTCAACAAAACCAGGGACTTGCAGTTGTTGGGTATAAGTTCCTTACTTTACTGCCACGAGTTGTTGCTTCTGGGGTTAGCTCAGTGAAGTTGGTTTCGGAGGTCATTGCGCAGCAGCAGCTATGAAGACCATAGATTTGCAGGTTGGTGATCACTTCATTCACTTGTATGGTTTTGAGAAACTTAGACATACTGATACTGGCAGTTGTTTGTGTCATACAACTGCTGAGATTTGATCTGAGAGCAGACACTAAACATGATGATTGTTCAAATTATCCATCCTAAATTCATTCAATTCGGAATGCCAGTAAGGAGATATAAAACCTAACAAGAAGCAAGCGCCAAGATTTCAGTTCCAAGTACAACTTCCACGTTACATGCACATGGACAGTTAATTTAACTAACTTTTTTGTGCGCCTGAAGATGTAGCCAACTTGACCAAATGATCGACCAGCGAATCCAAATCTTTGGTCGAACTCCCGACATCTCCAACGGCCTCCACCGCCGCCCGGCTCAGCTCCTTGGCCCGCTTCCTCTCCTCCCGGCCCTCATCCTCCGCCATCATCTCCGCCAGCCGCCGCGCCAGCTCGGCCGGGTCGGGCACCGAGTTCTTCCCTTGGCACACCCTAACCCCAACCTTGAGCTCCTCCTCCAGCAACGTGGCGTCGATGAACTGGTCCGCGCCCATCGGCCACGTCAGCATCGCCACCCCGGCCACGATCCCTTCCAGCACCGAGTTCCACCCGCAGTGAGTCAGGAACGCGCCCACGGCGCGGTGGCTCAGTATCGTCACCTGCGGGGCCCACCCCCGAATCACCACGCCTCTTCCCGCCACCCGATCCTCGAACTCCCTCGCCACGTGTCCCGCTCCCCCGCCCTTCACGCTCCACACGAAGCGGACCCCACTCTTCTCCAATCCCGAGGCCAGCGCCGCCGTCTGATCCGCCGTTAGCACGGCCTCGCTGCCGAAACAGACGTAAACGACTTTGTCATCGGGACAGGTGCCCAGCCACGCCTCGAGATCGGCAACCGAGACGGAGCTGGCCCCGCCCCTATCCTTTCCGTTACCGTCGCCGCCGGAGGCGGCGGCGGGAGGGAGTATAGGTCCGACCGCCCACACCCGATCGTGCCCCAATTCCTTTTTTAAGTAATCGAGATACTTCGATTCCAGCGCGTGGAACGAATTGAAAACAGCTCCCCAGCTTTCCATATTGGCGAGAAATCCGTCTTTGATGAATTCGGAAACAGGGTCGCCGGCGACGTAGGAGCGGTAGATCGAGGATAGCTGGGAGGAAGGCCAAGCGGGGGAATTGGGGAGTTTTGGGAACGGGAAGGGAGAATCGGGGTCTTCGGGGAGGACAGGCATGTATCGCCAGAGGTAGTTGACGACGGATAAAGTGACGGCGGCTGAAGGGGAGAAGACGACTCGAGGGATGCCGAGGTCGGAGGCGAGGCGGTGGGTCCAGCCGAGGAACATGTCGGAGATTATGGCGGAAGGAGGGGAAGGGGTGGACTGAAACCAGCGGAGGAGAGGGGAGCGGAGGCCGCCGAGGGCGGCCATCATGAGGAGGTGGACGCCGCCGGGTTTGTGGGAAAGGTTCGGCGGGAAGTCTTTGGCGTTCTCGACGCCGGGAGGGATGGAAGGGTGGGGAGGGAAAGGGAGGATGAGGGTCTGGATGGTGGAAGGGTGGCGGGAGAGCAGCGGCTGGAGGAGCGGTAGGTTTTTAGGGGTGGCGAGGATTGTGATTTTGAGACGGCCGGCGCTGCGGGCGGCGAGGTGGTGGGTGAAGTCGAGGAGAGGGATTAAGTGGCCTTGTGCTGGGTAAGGGAAGACGAGGATGTGCACTGGTTCGGTTGATGTCTCGGTGGCCGCCGCCATGGCTGTTGTGTTGTTTTGGTGGAGGAGGAGAAAGAAGATATGGTGGAGCTTGGAGGTGAGCTTGTGGGTATAATATAATTGGAGATCCCAATTTTCTGCGGATCCCTCTAATTGGGCAAGGTAAAAGTCAATCGACTTGATTAGGACATTAGGTAGAAAGATACGAATTTCGTTTTCCTTTCTCGTACCTGGGAGAGAGAAAAAGGGGAATGTTTTGGCGAGTGCAACCAAGGTGTTCGACGAAATGTCCAAGAGAGGTGTTTGTCTCTCAGGAACTCGATGGTCCTTGGATAATTCAGGAGCGGGAAGAATGGAATAGACGATGGATTTCTTCGAAAGAATGGATACTAGAAATAATACGACCTCTTGGCAAAGAAAGAAATCACAGGAATGTTCTTCACGAAATGCAGAGTTTGTGCCGTGTGGAATTGATGCTACCGCCTACCAGACCATATAAGGTAACAACATGCTAGTTTACTTGTCAGCCTGTGTTTCTCCTTGGGACAACTGATCATGGCGATTGAACTGATACCCAGTTCCTTAATAAGGGAGTGTAAATGTGATGTGTATGGGACGACCATGATTTCTGCATTCGACATGTTCGAAGAAATGAAGGGGAAATGTTGCTCTCAGCATGATGAAGGTTACTTGACCGCGCCACTAGTTCATCACTATCATTCTTCCACTGTTGATACACGTGTAAGGCGTGCAACCAGCCATTCAGCCAGGTGTCAATGTGGAAGCTGATGAAGGTTTCTACAGTACGGCCAACGAATTATGACTCTTGTTTGCATGCAGGCGAGTTCCCCTGAGACATTTTGATCGAGTATGGTGGCTAAAATCCGCAACAGACAGACAAGCCATCAACCTTAACAGCCAGTGAGTTCCAAGGAAAGATCATCCACAGGTAACATCAATTGTTACACAGACTACATCTAACTTTCTGCAATTTGCTATCTGCAAATTCACATAGTGGCTACTGGCTGCTGCTTTTATCCCTACACTGGCAGTATTAGCTATCATGAAGGTACTGGTCGTAGCTGAAAATGGTGCAATTCGTTTTTTACTGTTCGGCATTAACTGAAAAGTGAAATCAGGATCCAAAGGCTACGCGACGCGGTTGGGTTGATAAAAGCAGTGAAATTTTATTTTTTGCTTCAAAGAATCCGTGATTGGTATTTGGTACACAACAAGATAAACTTCCATTCATTACTGAGAGGGAAAAAAGACAATAAACTTCGACAAAAAAGGATATAAAACTATGGTCAATAAGTCAATAACTGAATATGTATGATCTTCTGCAGAGTAGCTTCCTCTGGTTTCTGTATTCTCCTATTCCTCCATGATGAATGGTCTTGTTGCGGCAGTTCTCCTGCCTGTTCTTGTTCTGGGTTATTTCCATACTTCCATCATCTTGCTTCTTTGTGGGTTACTGATCTTCGTCCTTGGGGTGTTTGTTTCGCGGTATGCACTGTTCTACATCAAAGAATCGGTGGTGGCGAATCATCAGCGGCCCCCTATTGTTGGCCCAATTTTGATGCAACTCGTTCACTATGATTCGCTCTTCGATTATATGACATCTCTGGCTAGGAAACACCCAACCTATCGTTTCCTCACTCCATCCCACAGTGAAATTTATACCGTGGATCCCGTTAATGTTGAATACATGCTGAAAACCAACTTCGCCAACTATGGGAAGGTACGTTTTATGTTATTTTGCTTTGATTTTAGTCTCTCTGGCTTCATATTTCTACGGCTTTGCTTCCTCCTTCTGCTGATTGAAGTTTGTGCTTATGTTTAGATTTTTTGTTCCCGCGAGTTCATGTGTGATTTTTGTTCGCCTGTTTCATTAGGGGGACTATAATCTAGGAATTATGAGCGATCTCTTCGGGGATGGGATTTTTGCAACGGATGGGGATAAATGGCGCCACCAGAGGAAGCTTGCCAGCCATGAATTCTCGACCAAAGTTCTCAGGGATTTCAGTACTAATGTTTTCAAGGTCAACGCTGCGAAGTTGGTTGCAAAGATCAGTGTTGCAGCAGCAGCTATGGAGACCATAGATATGCAGGTTGGTAGGTGAACAGTGTATGGTTTGAGATACTTGGACATACTTGAAGCTGGAACAGAAATCAGTTTCATTCTTTTCAGGAAAGCCAGGGAGCTTGTAGTTGTTTGGTTAAAGTTCCTTACTTAACTGAGATAAGCTGTTGCTTTCATTTTTCAACTGAAGGATATGCTGATGAAATCAACTTTAGACTCGATGTTCAAGGTGGGATTTGGGATGGATCTCAATGCTTTATCTGGATCTGACGACCTCGGGCAGCAATTCGTCAGAGCATTCGACGATGCAAATTCTATTACCTTCAGGAGATTCGTCGATATGATGTGGAAACTCAAGAGGATCTTCAATATAGGTTGGGAAGCTAATCTGAAGCAGAACATGAAAGTCATCGATGCCTTCATATATAAGCTGATTGAACGGAAGAGAGAACAGATGAGAAATGGAGAAACTCTTCTGGGGAAGGAAGACATACTGTCCAGGTTTCTGTTGGAAAGTGAGAAAGACCCGGAGAACATGACTGACAAGTATCTGAGAGACATAACCCTCAATTTCATCATAGCAGGAAAAGACACGACTGCGAATTCCCTCACTTGGTTCTTCTACTCCCTCTGCAAACACCCTCTGATCCAAGAAAAGGTTGCACAGGATGTCAGGGAAGCTACAACAGCCAATCAGAAGGGAGTAGTAACATCAGCTGAGGAATTTGTGGAGCTGTTGACTCAGGAAGCTCTGGACAAGATGCATTACCTTCATGCGGCTGTAACAGAAACTCTCAGACTCTACCCTGCAGTTCCTGTGGTACTTAACGCTTTTATATGATTTCCATTTTTCAAATTTGGTGTTTGTATGATTCTGTGTTGTCCTTGATGTGTATCCACGAAATTATAGGATGGCAAGAGTGCTGCTGAGGATGACGTTCTCCCTGATGGGTTTAGAGTGAGAAAGGGAGATGGAGTCGCCTACATAGCTTACCCCATGGGAAGAATGACTTCTATTTGGGGTGAAGATGCAGAGGAGTTCCGGCCAGAACGATGGCTGGACGAGGATGGCCTGTTCAGGCCCGAAAGTCCCTTCAAGTTCACTGCTTTTCAGGTCAGTAGTACCTAAGGACTGTGATTAGCCGCTTTTCTCTTCAGTCCACTCATGAGCTTATGTAAATGTGTGTTTTTATGCTATTATCGGCGGGCAAAAGGCGGGACCTAGGATCTGCCTGGGGAAGGAGTTTGCTTACAGGCAGATGAAAATCTTCGCAGCAAACCTACTCTACTTCTTCAAGTTGAAGCTGGTGGACGAGAGCAAAGAAGCAACGTATCGTGTCATGTTCACGCTTCACATGGATGGAGGCCTCCATTTGCTTGCCCTCCCCAGGCTCCACAGCTGATGATTTCCTATGGAACTACCCTGGAGTTTTCATTGCACTGCCTCTTTGTTTTACATTGCATGTGTTAAAATAGTCTTCCTTTCCTTTTCTGCATCTTAAGTTATTCGAATACTGCAATCTTGTCACGGAAATAAGCTGATATCTGATTCGAGAGCAGTAACTGTGATGATGGTGTTGGGCATCAAATTCATATTGCAGAACGAATGCCAGCAATATCTGTTGGAAACGAATAGGTCAACGTACGTGAGTGAAGAAAATCATGTACGAACTTAAAGGAATACATTGACGATAAGACTTTCAAAGCAGCAAGACAATTACGGAAAAGCCTCGAGGTATGGTGCCAACTAGGAGGAGGATTTGATAAATAATGCCAAGGTAGATAAGGATAACAATTGAGATTCCTATGATCAAGCTCTACTTAGATGAGATGATTTGATAAGCGATGAGCAACTTAAGGAAAATATGGTGGTAGGGAAACGGACTACCATGACCATAAGCCAGAAGTTACGATACAGTGCAAAGTTCGAGGACGAAATTTATATAAGTAGGGAGAAAATTGATTAAGTTATCAACCACATTATCCTGATATATTTTTTCCACACGATGACTTTTAAATCAATCAATAATTACCACTCATCACAGATTACGTGATTTAAGTCAATAATTAGTCCTTCATTAGAGGCTTCTTGAACATTGCAAGGCTGTGAATTATTAGTATTATTATTTTTTATAACCCAGGGAACCTCGGCCCCACGTGTCGTTTGAGCGACAGCGGGGCCTATTAAACCTCTAAGGGTACCTGCATACTAACCATGGCTTTCTGCTACCAACATCGGGGAGGCTTCGCCTCCGATACCAAGGGTGTCGCCGGGAACGCTCAAGTGGCGCCACTGGGAATCGAACTCAGGACCTCCCACATCCAAAACTCAATTAGACCAGTGGTTCTCTCTTTGAACATTGCAAGCCTGTGAATTAGGAGAGTGAGAAAAAGGTAGTTCTCTCTTTTCTATTCTTCTTCCTTTTAGATCAGCTATGTACAAATTATATCTTCCGCACGAGATTTTCAATTCTTATTTTATTATGATTTGTACTTTCGTAAATATGAAATAATATGCTAAACAAAAAATAATTAAATACAAATTTTCAATGGGGTGAATTGGTAAATGAAACAATATAACACCAGGTTGAAGCTATATACCAATGAGAGTAAATTGGACTCGATGACCAATTAAGTCTCATATTAAAAAAAATATGACTGTATGCAAAATAAAATATTTATTTGAATAATTGGAAAACAAACAAAGATTGTCAATCGATAAGGATTTAAAATTGAAAATGAATTCTCAAAATTTACGTGATTGAAATACGCGTGATCAGCCGGGCGTTAGTTGAATAGCCAGAAACTCACAAAGATTGTCAATCTATAAGAATTCAAAATGAAAATTGCAGCACCAATATACGCGTGATATGAATACACATGATAGGTCGTTTTTAATTGAATAGCCGAAAAACTCACAAAAACATGTCAATTAATAGAAATTCGAAAATGAAAAACACATCGCCGGAATATGCATCAAATAAGAACAGTGATATGAATTTCATGAAAGAAAAAAAAATCAAATAAAAAGAGAATTGCTAAAAAAGGTTACTATATAAATGATTACAAGACTGTAGACTTGATTGAATATATGTAATAGTATAAAGGACTTGATTGTATGTTTGTCATAGTGTAGGATTAATTGTGTAATACTTACTTTATTTATGCTTTGATTAGGATTTTATGTCCGTATATGTATCTGTTAACGAACAATGTAATTTTGCTTCCAATTAATAAAATCTCCGCCGGTACCGTCCGGCTTCCTCCCTCTTCTCCGATGATCGAGACTTCCAACAGGTTCGGTTGATGTCCCGGTGGCCGCCATGGCTGTGTTCTTTTGGAGAAGGGGAAGGAAGATTTCAGGAGCTTGGAGGTGAGGTTGGAAGGGACTCGTCGAGGACTTGTGGGTAATGTATAATTGGAGATCCTAATTTTATGCGGATCCCTTTAACTGGGTAAGGTACTAGTCAATCGACTTGATTAGGAATTTAGGTAGAATGATATGTTTTTCCTTTTCCTTTCTTATACCTGGGGGTGTTAAAAGAGGAATGTTTTAGCGAGTACAAGGAAGGTGTTCGACGAAATGTCCAAGAGAGATGCTGTCTCTCAGGAACTTGATGATCCTTGGGTAATTCAGGAGCGGGAATAATGTACGTTGGATTTCTTCGAAAGAATGGATAGTAGAAGAAATATCACCTCTTGGCAAAGAAAGCATTGGAATGTTCTTCACGAAATGCAGAGTTTGAGCCGTGTGGAATTGATGCTAGCAGACCATATGAGATAACAACCTGTCAGTTTACTTGTCAGCCTGTGTACTGATACCCAGTTACTTAAAAGGGAGTGTGAATGTGATTCTGTGGATATATAGCTTGTATGAAGTTCTCTACAGTGCCGCCAACAAATTATGAGTTGTTTGCAGGCGAGTTCCCCTGGGACACTGTGAATCTGTGATCGAGGATGGTGGCTAAAATCAGTAACAGACAGACAAGCCGTCAACCTTAACAGTCAGTGAGTTCCAAGGAAGATCATTCACAGGTAACATCAATTGTTATACAGGCTACATCTAGCTTGCTGCACTATCTGCAATTTCAAATAGTGGCAGTCTTAGCTACCATTCAGAGGGTTTAGAAAGCTATGTAGTTTGGTACCAACTCTGAAGGTACTGCTCGTAGCTGAAAATGGTGCATTAACTGAAAAGTGAAATTAGAATTCAAAGGCTACGCCACGCGGTTGGGTTGATGAAACCAGTGAAAAAATTGTTTTTAAAAGAATCCGTGATTGATACGGGTTATAAGTTATAACTACAAAGAATTGGTCACACAACAGGATATATTTTCAGCCGTCTTTTGAAAGACAAAAGGACAAGATAAACTTCCAGATTAAGAAATGAAAGTGAAGGAAATAAACTGTTAAATAACTGAATATATAATACTCTTCTGCAGTGTTGCTTGCTCTGATTTTTGTATTACCCTGAATCCCTGATCTCTTAGGATGAGTCGCCTTCCTGCCGCAGTTCTCCTGCTTGTTCTTGTTCTGGGTTATTTCCATAGTTCCATCATCTTGCTTCCTTGTGGGTTGTTGATCTTCTTCCTTGTGGTGTTTGTTTTGCGGTATGCGTTGTTCTACATCAAAGAATCGGTGGTGACGAATCATCAGCGGCCTCCCATTGTTGGTCCAATTCTGATGCACCTCGTTCACTTTGATTCGCTCTTCGATTATCAGACATCTCTGGCTAGGAAATACCCAACGTATCGTCTCCTCACTCCTTCCCACAGTGAAATTTATACCGTGGATCCTGTTAATGTTGAATACATACTGAAAACCAACTTCCCCAACTATGGGAAGGTACGGGATATGTTCTTTTTGCTTTAATTATGGTTACTCTGGCTTCAGATTTCGACGGCCTTGCTTATTCCTTCTGCTGATTGAAGTCTGAGTTTATATTATGCTTTTTGAGCTCTTGTGTGGTCTTTGTATGCCTATTTCATTAGGGGGACTACAATCTGGGAATCATGAACGATCTTTTTGGGGATGGAATTTTTGCAACGGATGGGGATAAATGGCGCCACCAGAGGAAGCTTGCCAGCCATGAATTCTCAACCAAAGTTCTCAGGGATTTCAGTACTAATGTTTTCAGGGTCAACGCCGTGAAGTTGGTTTCAAAGATCACTGTTGCAACAGCAGCTATGGAGACCATAGATATGCAGGTTGGTGAATGATCACTGTATGGTTTGAGAAACTTCGACATACTGGAAGCTAGAATATAAATCAGTTTCGTTCTTTCACGAAAGACGGGAACTTGTAGTTGTTTGGTTAAAGTTCTTTACTTTACTGACATTAGCTGTGGGTTTCATTTTCATCTGAAGGATATGCTGATGAAATCAACTTTAGACTCGATGTTCAAGGTGGGATTTGGGATGGAACTCAATGCTTTGTCTGGATCATACGACCTCGGGCAGCAATTCGCCAGAGCATTCGACGATGCGAATTCTATTACCTTCAGGAGATTTGTTGATATGACGTGGAATCTCAAGAGGATCTTCAATATAGGTTGGGAAGCTAATCTGAAGCAGAACATGAAAGTCATCGATGCCTTCATATATAAGCTGATTGAACGCAAGAGAGAACAAATGAGTAATGGAGAAACTCTTCTGGGCAAGGAAGACATACTGTCCAGGTTTCTGTTGGAAAGTGAGAAAGACCCAGAGAACATGACTGACAAGTATCTGAGAGACATAACCCTCAATTTCATCATAGCAGGTAAAGACACGACTGCGAATTCCCTCACTTGGTTCTTCTATTCCCTCTGCAAACACCCTCTGGTCCAAGAAAAGGTTGCTCAGGAAGTCAGGGAAGCTGCAACAGCCAATCAGAACGGAGAAGTAACATCAGCTGAGGAGTTTGTGGAGCTACTGACTCAGGAAGCTCTGGACAAAATGCATTACCTTCATGCGGCTCTAACAGAAACTCTCAGACTCTACCCTGCAGTTCCTTTGGTACTTAACGCTTTTATCTTATTTCCATTTTACAAATTTGGTGTTTGTATGATTCTGAGTAGTCTTTGATGTGTATCCACGAAATCGTAGGATGGCAAGAGTGCTGCTGAGGATGACGTTCTCCCTGATGGGTTTCGAGTGAGAAAGGGAGATGGAGTCACCTACATGGCTTACCAGATGGGAAGAATGACTTCTATTTGGGGTGAAGATGCAGAGGAGTTCCGGCCAGAACGATGGCTGGACGAGGATGGCCTGTTCAGGCCCGAAAGTCCCTTCAAGTTCACTGCTTTTCAGGTGGGTATCATCTAAGAACTCTATGGTTAGCCTCTTTGTCTATTCAATCAACTTATACTTATGAAAATGTGGGTCTTTGTGCTGTCACCGGCGGGTCAAAGGCGGGACCTAGGATCTGCCTGGGGAAGGAGTTTGCTTACAGGCAGATGAAAATCTTCGCAGCAAACTTACTCTACTTCTTCAAGTTCAAGCTGGTGGACGAGAGCAAAGAAGCGACGTATCGTCTCATGTTCACGCTTCACATGGATGGTGGCCTCCATTTGCTTGCCCTCCCTAGGCTCCACAGCTGATGAAGAACAGCTTCGGAAACTACCCTGGAGTTTGGAGTTTTCATTGCTGCTTTACATTTCATGTCTGTTAAAAAAGTAGTCTTCCTTTCCTAATTGTCTGCATTTTAAGTTGCTCGAATACTGCAAACAAGTGACAGATGGGTCGTATTATTATACATGCTAAGCTTCACATTTGTCACTTTGAATGCCAGTAATAAGGGTCATAGTGGAGGCCAAAAGACGATATCAATGGCACACTTCTAGACTCCAAAACCCTAATCATCACATTTCGCCCACCAACAACTCCCCTTTTGAGCCTATGAAGCCTTTTGTACCCAATTGTCGTCCCATTAGCAATCTTCTCTCCATCGACATGAATCTCATAACGTTTAATCCTCTGCCCCAAACCAATCGCCTCCTGAACTCTAATCACGTTAAATTTCAACGACGACCCACCACTCGAAATCTCAATCCAGTAATACCCATCTCTTTCTTCTCTACCGTCGGGTGCCCAATACGTCCACAAATGGTCCTTGTCCAGCACATTCTCCGGCGCGAACCCGCCATTATTTCTCCCTCCCCTGCTGCTGCTAGCTCTGACAGAGCATCCTTCGGCCAAGTTGGTGGAGAAGATGGTGTCGATTGCGGTTCTGAACTCTCGTAATCTCTCGACGTCGGAATCGGGGATGAGTCCGGTGGTATTCGGGGGAACGTTGAGGAGAAGCAGGCAGTTCCGGCCGACGGAATGGTAGTAGATTTCGAGCAATTGGGTGATGTTTTTGGGGGATTGTGATTTGTGCCAGAACCACCCTGTTCTTATGGAGACGTCGCATTCTGCCGGCACCCAATCTGTTCCTGCCGGGTCTCCGGTGTTTAGATAGCTGCATTGGATCCGTAATTTTTTCAAATTCGCTGCAATTAGAGTTTTAATTATGTTTTTACAGTTGATAAACTCACTCAAGGTTGCTTCCGTTTCCGATGGAGAGCGCCGTCCGGTTGATGGTGGACCAGCAAGTGGTTCCGGCGAACCCATTTTCGTTGCCGACCCATCGGACGTCGGGGCCGGCGTTGGAAAAGATATTCGCGGAGCTCTGTAACTCCTTTACCATGGCGAACCAGTCGGTGAAGTCATACGACATGTTCGGCGCGTTCGAACCTTTTGCTCCGTCGAACCATATCTCCTTCACACTCCCGTACCTGCCAATTCCATCATGCGTGAGTAAGTGGAGAACATGAAATCACATAACTAGATTAGGACCATGCCGCTTGAATTACTAATTTTATTTTTGCTTTCTCTTCTTCATTTTTCAACCTTCATGCCAATTTGACGTGATCCACTATTGATTGTCAACCTAATTAGTAATTACTAACTTGAATTTAATAAATATTTTAGAATTTCTTTTCTAAACAGTTTAAATGTTTTTTTAGAAAGACCTGTGATATAGGTTTGAAATGATTTTATTATATATGTTTTATGAGTTATAGGGTTATAGCACTTTGAACGATTCTATCAACAATTTTACAATCATTAATCATTGAACCATAACTCCTTAAAATTTCTAGTTTAACTCGATTTTGACGTTAGTTTTAGAACTAAACTTGATAACTTCAGTTTCAAAGTTATCTTCAAACGTACATAATTTAAATTAATTTGGAAAAATCTAAAATGACCAGACCTTGAAATTCATAATTTTACTGATTTTTTATTTATTAGGAAACAATGCAGTCAAAAGCGCGATTCTACCTAGAAGCGGAAAAGGGGTAAAATCGTAAAGCGTTGAATTAAAGCGTAAAAGCGTAAGTATTTGACGCATTCTGTAAAAAATAATTACAAATTTGTTAAGTACGACATATACTATGTAAAATATGAGTACACAGAATTTAAATAAGTTAATAAATACCTGCAATTCATGCATAAAGTAGAGCAACTTATAGGCTCTTAATAATAAGTTCATAAACATAATTTTAATTGTAAGCTACCTTCTTTTCTATGTTAATGAACTTGGGAAGAGCCTAACTGGTGAATTATATTACTCTATTGAAGCTGAAAATACATCCAAGTACGTGCTATGTATATTTTTTTTTTATCTCAAATGCATCATATTGTTGGTGATTTACCTTTAAAATATATATATTTATAATTAATTTCATGAAAATACTGCCCATTTAGTGAACTAAAAAACGTAAAAGCGTAAAGCGTTTTGGTGAACTAGAAGCGTAAAAGCGTAAGTATTTATGTTTTAAAGCGCAATTTAGTCCGATTTTATACATTTAAGTTTTTATATGGAAACGAAAGCGTTTTGGTGATCTAAAAGCGTAAAACCGTAAGCTTTTAAGTTTTAAAGCGCGATTTTGACTGCATTGTTAGGAAACGTTACTCTAAAGGTCAAACCAAGAAGCTTCCAAATTAATGAAATTTTCTGAAATGCTAGGATATCATTCCATCCGAAACAAATATAACCGAAATCGATTTAAGTTGGGTCTAGATTTGCAATTTACCACAACAAAAACTCTAGCTTTGCATTTCTACATTGTATAGAACAATTAACATCAAAATACATTAGAACCACTACTACAATTTAAGGAAACTTTATTATTGAAATTTAATTTGCAAAATATTTGTAGCCTTGTTAGAATCCTTTCTTCTTCGTTATTTTTTCTAAATTTGCATCAAATAAAAAAAAAATTCTTTCATCAAATTATTATTTTTTTTTAACGCCTAAATAAAGTATCATATTCCGTTATTCTTTGCAATTCAGTAATTGTAACAACTTCTTGTTAGTTATGTCGATTAAGAAAAAAAAACTTGTTCTTAGTTATTTACTTAATTACCTGGTAAGGAGCTCCTGCAATTGCGCCAAGTAGTACTCATTGTACTCCAAAGTCTTACCGTACCTCCGGTCATGTCGATCCCACGGCGAAAGGTAAACCCCGACGTCGACCCCGCCGCCGCTTTGGCCCCCCGCAGCGGCGCCGACGAGTTCTCCGACCACATCCCCACGCCCTCCCTTCCACGGGCTCGACGCCACCGAGTGGTCGGTGTATTTGGAAGGCCACAAGCAGAATCCGTCGTGGTGCTTCGCTGTCAGAATCACGAGGGAGACACCGGCGGCGGCGGCGGCGCTGACCCACTGGCCGGCGTCAAGCCCGACCGGGTTGAACACGGAAGGGGATTCGCGGCCGGTGCCCCATTCGGAGTCGGTGAAGGTGTTGACGCCGAAGTGGAGGAACATTATCAGCTCCCTCTGCTGCCATTTCAGCTGCGAGGCTGACGGCAGCGGCAGGACCGGCAGCGGCGGCGGCGGCGTCGCCACTTTATCGCGTGACGGACTCGCCGCCGGCGCCGCTGATGTAAGAATCGAGAAGCGGAGCAAATGGGACGTTGTTAGTGAGAGTAGAATCAACAAGCGCGAGGATTGCTTGTTATGACGATGCATAGTTTCTCGTTGTACGAAATGGAATGCTTAACTCTGTTTATAAGAAAAAAAAAAGCTAATGTGTGCAGAGAATATAATATACATTTCCGAAGATTAGTAAATTCTTTTTTTTTTTTTTTTATGATTCCCAAGTAATATTATGTATTGTAAAATCGTGTATAGTTGTGACAGTCTAATGGATAAAATCTCTTGTCAGAGACTCGAAGTATAAATTAGTAGTTTGTTTTTAACGATTTGAAACGGTTGAACTTAGGTAACCAGAGTGTGGAGCGAGAGCGTCAGAGCGTCAATTTCTCAAGAATTCAATCTTGAGAGCGCGAATAAAGCGTCATTATTATATTATTTTAATTAATTATTAAGTCACTTTTTAGTTCCTACCTAGACAATGCATTTTATTCAAACAAGCTCTTTCACTATAAATATTTGGCCATTGAACTATACTTTTTCTGGGATGAGATACGGTAACAACCCCATTAGGGGTTGTGAGATTGACAACCCATTTTATAATCATAGGATCTATTTTCTCTCTTGTCTCTTTCTTCTTTTTTCAAATCAATGGTACAGATTGGATTAAGGGTATTTTTGGACGAAAAAAATTGACCACACTAGATTATTACCCCTATTAATACCTAAAACCCTACTCTCTCTCTCTCTCTCTCTCTCTCTCTCTCTCTCTCTCTCTCTCTATCACGCCATCTTTCTTCTTCCTATTCTTCTTCTTCCTATTCTTCTTCTTCCTCCTCCCATCTCTTCCTTCTCTCTATCGGCTACCACCACCGTCGTCGCAGCCGACCCGCCACGCCCTCCGCCTCTCACCACCGTCGTCGCAGCCGACCCGCAACGCCGTCGCGGCCTCCTCCTCCCACCACCGCCGCGATGGCCTCCCACCACCACCGTCGTCGCAACCCTCCCGCCGCCCTCTGTCTCCCACCACCACCGTCGCCACGAGGTCACCGCCTCTCCCCTGCCTCCCCCTTTCGTTGTCCCTATTTTTTTTCCAGATCTGTGATTTTTCATATTTCAGATCTGATTTTTTTTTTTTTGCTAGTCTCTAGTAATACCGCTACCAGTGTTACTGGTACTGCTAATGGTACCGCTACAAGTGGTAATGGTACCGTACCACTAGCACTGGTAGCGTACCACTAGTATTGGTAGCGTACCACTAGCACTGATAGCGTACCACTAACAGTACTGATACATTTTTTAACGCACTAGTAGCGTACCACTAACACTGGTATATTAATTACCAGTAGACTAATAGATTGGTACACTTTTTAAGGCACTGGTACATTTTTTCAGGTTGCCGGAGGGAGTCTGCCGGAGAGAATTCGCCGGAGAAAAAGTCTGTCCATCTTAGCGGAGTGGCCGCAGGAGAAAGGAAGAGAGAGATAGATAGAGATATTAATGTATAGGATTTAAATTTCAAAAAAAAATTGTATTTAATATGAGTTTTTAATTCCCAATCTGATTAATACAAAAAAAGTAATTAATATATTCCTTTTTTTCGTACCCAAAATACCCTTGGTTGTCAGTCTGACAACCCCCTTAGGGTTGTCACCGTACCCCATCCCACTTTTTCTTAAAACTTTTAACCAACCACCCCTTCCGTTAGTCAATAGTTACCAAAATTACTATAAATTAGAAAGAATAAAAATTATTGAAATTATTTTTCCCCAAAACATCTTTATCTCCAAACCCAACCAGGAAATCCATTCTCGTTCTTCCTTCCCCTAAACTGCCTTCTCCCAAATTCAGAGCTCTCTGCTCTCTTATCCTCCACCGCAAAAGAGTAATTTAATTCGTTAATAATCAAAATTCACAAGGGCCTCGCCTTGTTCCCTCAATCTGAAAGAACCTAGTCAATTAAACAGCTGATTTTAATCTGCCCAGCTTGCTGACCGACAGCTTGGGTCGCGAGCGCCACGGAATCTGGAAATCTTGGGTGGAAGCAGAGATGGCAGGAGCGGCAAGGATGGCAGCAACCGGCGAGGAAGGCAGAAACCGGCGAGTTGGCAGAGGGCAAGATCTACGCTGGATGCTGGTCAACTGGGAGAAGTACGTCGGTGATGGTTAGAATCGGTGAAGATGGGAAGAGATCGTCGGTGGCATATAGTGATGTTATAGTAGCTTTTCCCCGGCCAAGTCCATCGGAAATGAAAGATCGTCAGAATCCGCGCTCCCATTTAAGGAAATCCGCGCTCTCATAATAACTAATTCGCGAATTTAGGGTGCTCCGCAAAAAATTCGCGCTTTCGCGAACTGGAGCGAGATCGTGGGGGTTGTGTAGGCGAATTAGGTTACCTAAGGTTGAACCACGGTTACAGAATAAAATTTCGTATCATTAACAATTTTTGGTACAACCTTTAGTGGGATTTTAAAATGATTGGTTGCAACATGGTGGTTAATGTTGTGCTAACTCTTTCTTCCGCAAAAAAACACATTCTGCAACTTTCCTTAGAGGCAAATTAAATTTCTACTTTCTGATATTCTGATTAAGCGTGTTTCTCCGTTTTGTAACTTGTAAGTGTATATTCCAAAATCCAAATGCATGACGCTAAAGATCAATAGATCCAACGATAATTTCAATTGAGGTGCATGTAATTATTATTAAATTTAGGGGGTGGGATATGCTCACTTCTCCCAAGAGTTGTGAGATTCACAATCAAGGATATTTTGGGCACAAAAAATGATATATTAATAAATTTTTTTTATTAATTACATATTGGGAATTAAAACTCATATTATATACATAGTTTTTTTTAATTTAAATCATACAATAAATACATTTCTATCTCTCTCATCCTATTCCAGAGCAGCTGATTTTTTTCTGCGAAATCCTTCCGACAGACTTCCTCCGACGAAATTTCTCTGCCAGATTCCCTCCAATAACCTGAAAAAGTACAAGTTGCGTTAAAAAATGTACCGGTCCATCAGTCTAGTGGTAGTGATTTTTTGAGTGGTACGCTACCACTACCATCGTCCATCTAGATGATAGTGGTAGCATACCACTCCATCTGGTACCAGATGAAAATCACTACCACTAGGAAAAAAACAGATATGAAAATCTAGAAATCACATATATGAAAAACGAAGGGGAGGAGAGAAAGAGTAGTGGCAGAGGGACGACACCTGAAGAGGTAAACAGAGGAGGAGGCGACGACAAAGAGCTGGCAACGGCAAAGGGTGGAGGGAGGCTGAGGATTGCGGAGGCGGTGACGGTGGAGGGCTTGGCAGGGGGTGAAGGGAGATGGAGGGCTGCGGTGACGGTGGTTGCAGCGACAGTGTCGTCTGCTAGAGAGATGGAGGAGGGAGAGGGAGGAGTCAGAGTTTTTTTATTTATATGAGAGGGAGAATGATTGAGTATGTTAATATTTTCCCTTCCAAAAATACACTTCTTTTAATCTTAACCATCAATTTGAAAAGAGAAGAAAGTGACAGGAGAAAGAGCGTATCCAATGGCTAGGGAGTGGGTTGTGACGGTATCCCACCCCTTAAACTTATATACGAGGTTAGCTAGGATTTCGCTCGAGGTGGGATCATTTAAAAAAAATTATATATGATAAAATAGTTTTGTTAACTTTTTAATCATCCATCATATAATCTTATATTTGAAAAAAAAATTGATAAATCAAAATATATTAGTAGGCGAAACTATCAAGAATATCATTTCCTATGTACCAAACATTTATTCATGATTTAGTTAGTCGTTTGCTTTCGAATGGTATGGTGTTCTGCTTTGAGAATCATTTAGTAGCAATAACTCAAGTTGTTGAGAGATGTTCAATGATGGATCTTATATCATTTGCTAGCACACATCCTCGGAACAAAGGGTTTGAAGTTTGCACAAATTTGAACTAAATGTGTTTAACAAATGGGGTCGACAAGATTTAAATACAAGACATCTCGGTCAACCATTCTCAATTAGATGCACACCCAAAATTTTCATTCTCAACCAACTATTATACCTAATTTATGCATTTCCCTTATAAAATAGGGTGGTTCCCGAAACTCACATTGTTACACTTCCTCCACCCCTTCTTATATACATAGCTTAATTGTATAAATACCATCTAAATTTTACTTTAATTAGTTGCACATAGACTATCTAAATTTATTTGCTACAACCAAACCACTTAATTTTGACTCTTCGTATACCAATAATTTTTGTCCTGGGATCTCGGATGCAGAAAAGAGTATGATTTCCAGAGTTACAGGGTTCCCTCTAGCTACACTACCTGTTCGTTACTTAGGGGTGCCTCTTATCACGGGCGAACTCTCCTCAGTGGAATGTAAGACTCTGGTTGATAAGATCACTGCTCGGGTTAGAACATGTTAGGCCAGTTTATTGAGCTATGTTGGTCGGTTGCAGCTAATTTTGTCAGTCATTTCAAGTACAATGCAGTATTGGGTGGCTCTGTTTCTTCTTCCAATGGAAGTGATCAGGGATGTGAAGCAGATATGTAATCGATTTTTGTGGGGTGTAGGAGGAGCATAGAAAAGAAAAAGGGTGTTGGTCTCATGGGAAAGAGTTGCATCACTAAAAATGGAAGGAGGGATGGAGATTCAGGATTTTAAAACATGGAATCAAGCGTGCGTCATTCGTCATCTTTGGACCATTCTGGCAAAAGCAGGCTCTTTTTTGGGTGGCGTGGATTAAGAAATACAAGATCAAGAATCGACCTATTTGGAGCATGCATTCACTATCTTCAGGTTCATGGATATGGCAATAGATTCTTAAATGCATAGGGGTTTGTACAATCCATTTCTTAAGATCTGGTAACTCTCTAACATGGGATGGTAAGCTTCTTTCTCATTACTCTGTTAAAACTATCTGGGAAACTATTCGGAGCCCACTCCTTAAAGTTGACTGGGAAGCTGCTGTGTGGGGAAAAACCAAGTATTCTTAAGCACAGTCTTATGGTTTGGCTGATTATTCTTGATAGAATCACAACCAAAGATAAACTGGTTGTATAGGGTCTTTTTTTTATGGTGTAATTAGCTATATGTTTTCGTCTAAACACATTGTACCGTGAGAAAGAGGTTTGCAGGTTGCGCCTCTAGAGTTTAATGCCATATTTTATTAATCATAAAGAAAATGTGCATTAAATCGACATTCACATATGGTTCCTATTATTGATTAAACTTCTATATATCAAGTATTACCACTAGCTAGAATTGTGTGTATCGTACATCGTTAAGATAGAGAAGCTGGGTGGCAGCAGGCCTTGAAATTCCTAACTGCTAATTAAATGACCGATTAAGAGCTCAAATGACCAAGAGACGACGAAGAATTATCAAATTATTCCTCCATGGAAAGACGATAGATGAAGAAAGTCCAACAGGAACGTTGATCACAGTGCTTGTACATTCACTTCCGTTCCTAGCTAGCTTTGCAAAGCTTTGTTTCGACGACAAGACAAGCTAGCTATTATTAAAGAAAGGCACGTTTTCTTTTATAAGTAAATCAAGAGGAAAGGAGCCTTATTGTTTCGGCAAGGTTAGACACGTTTTCTATAAATAAATCAATTAGAGAAGTTGGGGGGGGTTATTTGATTGAATTTTATGATTGAAGGAGTGAGTGATGAAACTCCGGATCTCCTATTTGAGCGGTGACTACATTTGTCTTATGAATGTCAAGAGCATCAACGTCGATTTGCAAACAGTTCTTCTTGTTAAAGACTATGTGGAGGTATTTGGCCATTGGTAAAGGGATTTCACCAATGTGGAGATATTATACATGAAGTTGTTAACCTATTTGTAAGGACGATGATTTTAAGATGTTTACTTAAGCTGTAGATCATCAACTTTTAATTTTAATTTTTTTGTGAAGGGTGAAATGTATGTTTTTTTTTTCAATACTATATTAGAATATGATAATATGAGAAATTCTTAACGAGTCAAATTGTTGTTTTTACCGACTCTTGAAATACTACCATCTTTAAATCAGGTAAAATTTAGTGGCATTTTATTCGTATTTGTGGATATCAATCCTTCTTAATGAGAGTAATTCTCAGATTGACGAAGGTTTAAGTTAGATATATGAAGAATATATACCCACAATGAGACTTGCAGGTATGAGGCAGTGATAGATATGACATGCCATGTCAATTATCCATATAACTTTAACTTTACCCACATTTATGTAAATACATTAATTATGGATAGAGTATGATTAAAATCTATAAAATTTGTGTACTTGTTGGCTAGTTATGGATATTGCTTCTGTATTCTAATTGGATGTATTTGTCAATTCTAAAATTTTATGTATTAAGTTGTACCTAAAAATTAGGTACCATATTGTAACTTTCCTTGATTTTTTGGCACTTGTCTGCAAAAATAAAAAATTTGTTGAAGAGGTAAATGGTAAAAACCATGATATGTAGTCTGTAGATGCCAAATTGTAATATTTGAATGAGTATAAATAAAACCTCAAATCCAAGGGTATATGTATAATTTTTTTTTTTTACAAAAGATAATCATATATATTGATTGATAGAAAGATAATTACATCCTGGAATTCAACCAGGGCAGAAAATCAAAAGATCGATTTGTAATCGGGTACAATGAAAGGATTTTTTTAGCCACCACATGGGCTACCCTATTGTTACGTCGTCCTACAAATCGTACACCAAGTCCACTATGAAGAGCGAAGTAATGCTCGACCTCCTCAAGAAGTGAGCCCACCCTAATATCACGGGTACTTGATTCATTGATATTGTCAATGACCACTTTAGCATCACCTTCAAAGCGAATCTCTAGAAACCCCATGCTTAGACACCAAAGAATAGCCTCCTAGAGAACAAGCAGCTCCACCATCATTGGATCATCCACAGCCGGGAACCTGTACCCCGCTTGCCAGGATAACATTCCCTGCACGATCACCAATAACCATCCCACCAGCTAAGTGGGAACCAGTCCTCGTCGCCCCATCCCATTGGCAAACCATTTAAGTCGGATGGTCTGAGGCCAACGGTTGGGGGAAAGGAGGGTGAGACTGGGCCACTAGGTCAAGAGGCAAAGTAGCCCACTCTTGGTATTGTTGGTTAAATTGGCGCATGAGAGTCGAGATCCCAAACTGCTTGCCTTCAAAGACAACCCAATTACGTGATCCCCAGATTCTCCAAAGGAGCGCAATAACCGCCAGAAAGAGATGAGGTTGATTTAAGAGAAGCATCAGCTTCTTCAGGAACATAGGGAAACTGTGGCGAGGCAGTCCCTGACCCAGATGATCCAGACCCGAATGATCCCATAAGGCCCTAGCCACTAGGCAATCAAGAAACAAATATTCCATTGTTTCCGACTCAGCCCAGCAAACCGGACACCGAGGAAGCACTATGACCTTCTTTTCAATGAGAGCCTCTGTGGTTGTTAGGAGCCGGTTGAAAATCTGTCAAACAAACACTTTCAACTTGGGAGAATGTTAGCAGCCCATAAACGGATCCAGGTGGCTCTATCCATCCAACTAACCATAGACTTCCAACGCCCACCTTGCTGATCCAACAAGATTGTTAAATGGTAGGCCGATTTAACAGAGAAGACTTCGTCAAACATGCCATTTCATATCAACTTATCCTCCATCAAATGTCGAGGAAGAGGAATCATCTTGATTGCATTTAGGTATAGGTATATTAAGCAAAATTACATGTAATTTAAAAAGACGGACAAAGAATAGGGCATGCATTTAGGTTGAAGCAAATACCAAGCATCCCATAAGGAAATTTGAACATGTAGCTAGCTCTACCTCTTTCTTTTTTTTTATTACCCAAGAACCTCAGCCTCACGTGCCACTTTGTGACAACGGCGCCTACTAAATCTGGGGACCACCTGCAATCAAATTTGTAGTTCTACCTCTTTTCACGATAGGTATTTGGATAATATGATATTGTGCTATATTATATTCGACATCATTAATGAGTTGTAATAATTAATATTATTCATCCGATGTATTTAATTATAATCATCCACCAATTCCACAATTCAGAACCACATTAGGCCATCATTAATCAAACCTATTTACACCTTGCAAGTGACCTCTTAAACATATCCAATCATATCCATAAAAATAAACCCTTCAACAAATTCCAACCTAAAACAACACAAAGGGGGAAGAGAAACACAAAAAAGAAACCCTTAACTTGTTCTTCCTCTTTATTCTCCACATGTAACCAAAGTCATTGCCACTTGGAATGCCAATAAGGGTCATAGTGGAGGCCAAAAGAAGACACCAAAGGCACGCCCCTAGATTCCAACACCTTAACCCTCACGCGCCGCCCGCCAACCACGCCCTTCTCCAGCCTGTGAAGCCTCTTGTACCCGACCGTCGTTCCATTCGCAATCTTGTCTCCGTCCACATAAATCTCATGTCGTTTTATCCTCTGCCCCAAACCGATCGCCTCCTGGACCCGAACCACGTTAAACTTCACCGGCCCACCACAGGTGATCTCGATCCAGTAATGCCCATGACCCAATTCCCTATCACTGGGGGCCCAATACGTCCACAAATGGTCCTTGTCCAACACATTTTCCGGCCCAAACCCGCCCCCTTTCCCTCCCCTTATGCTGCTAGCTTTCGCAGGGCACTCTGCAGCCAAGTTGGTGGTGAAGATGGTGTCGATTGCGGTTCTGAGCTCTCGTAGTCTTCTGACGTCGGAGTCGGAGATGAGCCCCGTGGTGTTCGGGGGCACGTTGAGGAGCAGGAGGCAGTTCCGGCCGACGGAGTTGTAGTAGATTTCGAGCAGGTCGCTGAGCTTCTTGGGGGATTGTGACTTGTGCCAGAACCAGCCCGTTCGAATGGAGACGTCGCATTCTGCCGGCAGCCAGTCCGTTCCTCTTGGGTCTCCTGTGTTTAGGTAGCTGCATCCACACACATTCATAAATTCCCATTAGTATAGTCAAAGATTGTGCCAAAGAGATAAAAACATGAGACAAAAGCATCACATGGGATCCTATGGTGAAGATTTGTAATGTAGCATGTTCTATATTGTAGGATATATTCAAAATGACAACTAATGTCATGGGAAGGTGACAAACATGATAGACGACGACAAAAGGGTTTATGGATTCATGATTGATTGAAGACCATGATGGTATCAAATTGAAAGATATCTAAATTGTTTGTTTGATAGATCGTCAACGTAAGTCGATATACCAATCCAACCACTGAAATTAGTTGGTTATTCTGATCCCGAATTTGCCCCATATCAGCAGTTGTCACCGCGATATAGATGTGGTTTTTCGGTTACCGAGAACCCAATATTTAGGTTTGGTTACCTGCATTGAATCTAGCAACCCATTGGGATTGGTACATAATCTTGTTACAATTTGGAACTCGAAAGGTGGTCTAAATCCACAACTGAGACCGTTCTATTCGTTAAATGTATCGGTTATCAGTTACCTGTTAGATGATGAATTTCCGGTTAACCCGCTGAGCCGAACCCAAACAACCAGCCCTACATTTCGCCTAAGTGGAAGGTTTCCCAAAAAAGAACGATTGGAGGACAAAAACTACCAGCCACTAGAGGTCAACAAGAACACACAGCCCAATAACTCATGGACAACGAAAATAGAACCAATCTCCAAGCTCACATGAATTTCGTAGCGAACCATAAAGCTTTCCATGGAAACGACGCAAAAGAAAAGGCAGAACAGAGAAAGTGGAAACTGAAAGTGAAAGTGTGAAACCGACTAATTTTGTAAGGAAAAAAGGCCAGAGAGAGCAACAGTAACTTACTCAACAATGCTATCGTTTCCGATGGACAGCGCCGTCCGATTGATGGTGGACCAGCTGGTGGTTCCGGCGAACCCTTTCTCGTTTCCGACCCACCTGACGTCGGGGCCGGCGTCGGAGAACAAATTGATGGAGCTCTGCAGCTCCTTCACCATCGCGAACCAGTCGGCGAAGTCGTACGACATGTTCGGCGCGTTCGAGCCTTTTGCTCCGTCGAACCATATCTCCCTCACGTCGCCGTACCTGCCAGAGTAATTATTAAGCTAATTAATTACGGTAAAATAATGTACAATCAGAATTAATCAAGTTTCCCCTTAGTTAAGGAAATTAAATGGCTATTCGTTGAACTAACGAAGACAATTTTATTGAGATTGCATAATTATAATTAGAGAAGTAATTCCAATTAATCAAAAAAATTGGGTTTTCGATTGCGTTACTCACTTGGTAAGAAGCTCCTGCAATTGCGCCATGTAATACTCATTGTACTCCAAATTCTTGCCGTACCGCCGATCGTGGCGGTCCCACGGCGAGAGGTAAAGCCCGACGTCGACGCCGCCGTGGGCCTCGGCGGCGCCGGCGAGCTCGCGAATCACATCCCCGCGCCCTCCCTTCCAGGGGCTCGACGCGACGGAGTGGTCGGTGTACTTCGACGGCCAGAGGCAGAACCCGTCGTGGTGCTTCGCCGTCAGAATCACGAGGGAGACGCCGGCGGCGGCGGCGGTGCTGACCCACTGCGCGGCGTTGAGCCCGGCGGGGTCGAAGATGGAAGGGGATTCGTGGCCGGTGCCCCACTCGGAGTCGGTGAAGGTGTTGACGCCGAAGTGGAGGAACATTATCAGCTCCCTCTGCTGCCATTTCAGCTGCGAGAAGGAGGGGAGCGGGAGAACCGGCAGCGGCGGCGTCGGTACTCTGTCTTTTCCGGCCGCCGTGGGGATCGGGAATTGGAGCGAGCAGAGGGTTGTTAATGTTATGGATAGGAATAGAATCCGGGGAAATCGCTGACGATGATGATGGAGATTCATGTTGTGATGAGAGCTGCAAATTGTAATCGTCCCCCAATGAATTGAGAAATGGAATGGAATATCAAATATGTGTGGTTTGTGTGTTTATATAAGAGAGAAGCTATAAATTATGGTAATGGAATTATTGAAATGATAGTTAAGTGAGGAAAGTTAATTAGTTCCTAATGATGGGATAAGGACAGTGAAAGGGATGGAAAAGAAGGGGGACCAATACAGAGAGGAGAAAATGATTTTGGAAAGTTAATTTGGAGGCTAAAAAGATGCTTAGGAAAAGAACATAAAGGTTTTTGGTAACAAGAAATATAACTGTAAAATTTTAACAAGAAACTACACTCCCTTTTTTGAGTGGCACCCATCAAAATAGATGTATATTATTTGAAAGGGAAAGACGACTATTTACAGTATTACTAGACGAGAAAATGAAAGTAATTGGGCCCATCGCAATTTGACAAGATTCTCTATTTCGGTTTAATCTGAAAATGCAATTAAGCCGGGTATTAAGATGATTAATAATCATTAAAAGTTGGGAAACGGAAGTTTTAGGCACGAGGAAGGAATTAAGATAAAGAATTCGAGGTACTGTTTGTGGACTGGTGTAAATTTTGTGTTGATTAAAGGATTAATTAGTGATCCACGTTGGAAATTATTGGGTCACGGGCGTCGACCAGGTTTGGAGTGATCATATCATACGTAGTGATGGGTTGGCTGACTGACTGGGAAATGTTGGACTCGCATTTCTAAGGGGCTATTTGGTTTTGTTCAGATCACTTTTTTTTGTCTCCCACTTTTCTAATGTTTCTGCCACTCCCTCCACTGACCCATCCTATACTATTACTATCTAATCATTCACCAACCTTTACAACAATTTTTTTACGGCTAAATTACACGTTTGATCACTCAAATTATATAAATCTTTTATGTTTGCCACCCGAATTCGTTTTCTTTCTTATTCACCACTAACTTTATGAATCGTTTCACCGTTAGTCACCAGTCGTTAGTCTCCGACAATTCTGTTAGTTTTTTGATGACATGGCAAACGGACTGCTGACTAGACCATTAACAAATGACATATAAATTGAAAGAAAATAAATAAAAAAACAAATAATTTACACATCATTCTCTCCCTCTCTTGTTCTACAACTCCTTCTTACTTCCATCATCTCCACCATACCCTCTCTCCTCCGCAGCCCGCGCCACCATGTCAACTCCTTCTTGCTTCTACTGTTCTTCTTCTTCTTCTTCTTCCTCTTCCCCTGTCGCAACGCTTTCTTCCGGAAATTCCACCCACCATGTCAACTAGGGGTGGGCAACCTGTTCGATAAACTCGAATCGAACCAAAACCGAATTAAACCGAACCGAAATCGAACTAATGCTATTCGGTTTGGAATTCGGAAGAAAAATATGGATATTTCGGAAATTAGGGTTCTTTCAACCGAACCGAATTTCCGACCGAAAAACTGAAATACTATAATTGCAAGCTCAAATTGTGGATTTTTATGTTTGTATTTGTTTTTAGTCTTAAATATTTGAAATGTTTTATGACTTATGTGTTGAAAAGTTTGATTTTATAATTGATGATGCATATAATTACATATTTATTGTTTATATTAAGGGTGAAAAATAATTTAAAAGTGAGAAAATACAAGTAGCCTCTCAATTTCGTTTTGTGTATAAAACCGAACCGAACCGAATTATAATTCGGTTTAAACCGACCAAACCGAATTTTAATTCAGTTCGAATTCGGTTTGGGGTTTGAGAGAATTCGGGGACCCGGTATTCATAAATTCGGTTCGGTCGAAACCGAACCGACCGAATGCCCACCCCTAGACGCCTCCCTTGCCATCAGATCTGGGCCATTGTCGGAGTTCTCTATATAGAAAAACTAGCGTGACCCCGGCCATTTGGCCGGACGAAGATGAGGTATGAAATTTGATAATGTAATGGGGTGCATAGCTTATTGTTGTATAGTTTTTTTTTTGGGAAACACGTGATAAAAATAGTGAATTTTAGTAGAAAAGAGACATGAATGATGCAACGAATCAAAAATCAGCCTTATGAACCAAAATCAAGTACCTGTTACCTTGTGAAACAATATTGTTTCTGGTAATATGATGAGGTGGAGTAAGTTTTGTAGAAACCGAATAAAAAATCGCCTATCCCGCCGGTTTTCGGGAAATGAGCATCTCACAATCGTTGCTAGCTTTTACTCGGCCCGTTGGCCGATTAATTTGCTTTATAAAACTTTCATCTTCTCATCGTTGTGCTTTCTGGTTTTTTGCCAAGCCATGATAAAATCTAAAGAAATCAAGAATGAACAGCACGATTTGGGATAGGAACCAACTTTCCTGTATCCCTAGAAAATGGTGGTAAACACGGACTCACCTGCCAAACTGGTTTGGATTGAGATTTTTATAGGGTATCAGGGAACCATGTGATTATAAATTAGACTTGATCAAAACGGGCAAAAATTTGAAATTCAGCATGTTTGACCGACTCATGCCAAACTCTAATTATTCTTTACCTGTAAACTTTATATTTGAAAATAAAAAATAATGAAAGAAAAGAGATGACTGCAATTCACCATTTGCACATCACTGATTCGGGAATAAAACTATAGAATTTCGAAAGGAAACTGAAAATATTTAGGATCGTTTTAATGTTAAAAATAACCAAATAGATCTTTCTGTTTAGTTTTTAACTAACAAATACCAAACCATTCCCTATAATATACACTATAATTTAATGATTATGACATCAAATAATTACATAATATATATTTGAAATGATAAAAATTGGACTAATTGAGTTGGTCGAGGTTGTACCATTGAATAACTTTAAAATACATTATATTTTAGCCACTAAGATATAAAATAATAGCATAATATATATTATGCTAGAGAAAATAGTTTGTTTTAGAATGGCAAACCCATGATGTTCATTTGTTTTACTTGATGGGCAAATCCCGTGTAGGTTAGACCCATTCAACTCTTTTATTTTATGATTAGCGGTTAGCCCATTAGAATCCATGCATTAGTTTATTGTTATTTTTTTTCTTTTTAGCAATAAAAAGGAGTATTGTTTTTTCCTTTTCTTATATATATTTTACCACTACGGAGAAACTAGCGCAGGGCCCGGCCCGTTGGGCGGGTAAACTAACCATAAGCGGCGCATTTGACAAACGTTGGAACATGAAATCAAATGAAAATGAATTCATTTTTTGGTCAATTTAAGTTACAAATTGTTCAGTTAAAATGTTTATACGAATATATGAAATTGAATAAGTGGGCTGTAATATTTGGCACATATTAATAAGCATCACATTGGTAAAAACCACAGGAGATAGATGGAGCAACCAAGTAATAATCTATTCGGGGAAAGAGTTCAACATTCATAATTGGAACAACTATACAGAAATTATCTTTCAATTAAAGCACTGTTCAAGTACGTCACCCCCTCTACCAGAATAATTTGCGAAGAACCAAATCAAACTCATTGGTCTGGCCGTTGAAATCTCCAAATTCAATCATAAACTTCAATATATTCCCCCTGAGAGCAGCTAGGAGAGTCCTGAAGTCATTGCTTCATTCCTTGTCTGTAGCCTCAATGATCCGGCTCGCTATCCACCGGAACTTGGTAGTCATAAACATGATAGAAGCCTCATGAGGACCAGTAGCAACAGTCAGCCTCACCATAAACTTGAGATGCACACTTGACCAAGAAACAGTAACATCCTTGACTGTTGCAGTAGTAAGGTACAAATTCCCCTGCAATATGAACCACATGAAAGCTTACATTTGGGAATGGCAAGAGGATAATTGATATTTTAGTGGTCAAGTTAGAGCATTAGAGACGCAGTTACATCCAACCATGGTGTCCAGACCAACAATTATGATATTCAATGGGAGCAAAATATGAATGTTGACATTTTTGTAGGAGTTGACCGAGTGTACATATAAACTACCTGGTTGGTGAAATCAGTCTTATATAGATTCAGTTCCGAAATGGAACATATCTCACTTAACCATATAGCATCCTCCAACGTGTAGTCAATGGCCAGCGGGACATTTTCTATACTGTAAATAAAAAAACAATAATTCCAAAACATGAGAATAAGAATAATAAAAGAATTGATTCTATTGATCAAAGGTTAAACACTTACTTATCAAGCAGGGGGTGCACGTGAGGATAGTGCAAGTTGCAATATACTTTCGTTGCAGTTGAGCCCACACAATATTCTTCCTCTAAAACCATAACATCTAAAAACTCAATTACCACTAATCTAAACTAAAAGAACAGGTTCGAAAAATAGAATGAAAACCATGTAAGAGACCTGCGAAGTGGCGAACAACAACGGAAGTGAAGACAACTACTGTTCCTGGTAAAGGATCATTAGGTGTCACAGCTTGAAATTCGTCAATTAGACCATCCCATAAGACGACATCAACTATAGGTCCCCTAAAATTTTTTTAAAAAAAAGATGCATGAATTGGCTGCACACGGTAAGCACACTTCAAATGTAACCTGTACAAAAAAAAAACAACCAACTGACTCAATCAATCTAAGCTGCACTCCCTTTCGCCGTAAAATAGCAGCATCTTCGAATAGGACCTCTTCTTGTTCAACAGTTTCAACCTCCCCAATTAAATCTGAGCCCAAACATATCGTTAGGTACACAATATGAAAACCAAACCAGCCAAATAAAGCTTTTCTTTGAATTAGAAATACCAGACAAATATTCATGATTATGGACAGCAAAGGGAAGATCATTAGCAGCCAAAAACCGAAAGCTATATGTTGGAATGTCGGCTGCATTCTGGAGTTCCTCAATCACCGTATCATTATGAAAGCGGATTCGGATAGTTGCAGGAGCAACTCTATACGTATCATCATATTCTTGGACCAAAAAGTTGCTCAAGAAATAGATCCTTCCCACGTGAAGAAGAGGAGCAAACAACTGAACATTAAGAATATCAACCAAGGCCTGCATCTCTGTTCCCTAAAAGTCACGGTAAAAAATCTTTGAGTATTTTTAGAATTGAATAGCGTACTTCCCACTCATGTAACGAATAGAAGGCTTATAAAATCAATGTACCTGGTTGTCGAGAAACAACATGTGGATTTGGTCAAGCGTTACACCATCAGGCCTCATTGTATGCCATAAACGCAG